CAGACCGCGCCACTGCTGTGGCTGCGGTCCGTTTTAATCATGCCCGCGATCTATTTCCGTACCGCCCGTTTTTTCGCGTCATTTGATTGACACGCAGTTTCCCGCCTTCCTCCTTCTATGCCAGCGGCCATCTTCTGTTCAGCGGTTAGTTTCCGTTCGCGCGCTTTTTCGGTGAACAGCTCTCTGCTACTGGATTGCAGCTCTGTTAGACGGTAAGTTTCATTGCCCCCTGCTGGTACATTTTGTTATTACATCTGAATATTACACAGAACACTTGCTTATATTAGCCTATTTGTGTTTTTATTTGCAGATTGCTCTCAAACTATACTATCCAGCTCTATGCCTATTAGAGGGTGACCCCCTCTTGCCTTTTTGATTTAAGGGTGATCCCCTTGTGCCTCTTTATTGAGGGTGACCCCCTCGTGCCTTATCTCTCAGGGTGAACCCCTTATATATTTTATTGATTTGCACAGGTTACCCCTGTCATTATTATATTGACAGTTTAACTGCCATAATTGTGGATGAACCCCACTTAGTCCCCTTCAAGGTGACTGCATATTATCTGGGTGACCCCAATAAGACAGCCCCTGCTTTTACTTGTCTTGTGTAAAGTTTGTTAATATATATAATACAAAAAAAATAAATAAATTAAAAAAAATAAAATAAAAGTTGTTTAATATACCTTTTGGTATACTGATTCTGTGGTGAACCCACTACTATTTTACTGGTCACCATGTCGGACCAACCAGAACCTGCAATATCAGCAGAATTAAAAGCCTGGCTTCAAGCTGCAATTGCAGACTCTATCCCCAAAGCCTTGGCAGCATTTCATGACCAGACAGCCACTACTGCCACCATCTCGCAGTTGTCAGACTCTGATGATTCCAGGGTCTCTGACCATGACGAAGCCCCACGTAAACGCCCGTGGAAGGGTAACAGTGCTTCTGCTGGCAAAGGCAAAGCCCCAGCAAAGACAGCTAAATTGTCTCATGCCAAACCCACTTTGACCTCAGAATCCGACCTCTTAAAGGATTCAACCTCTGGCTATCACCTACGAGTGATAGACGAATACGTATCCAGAGGAGGATCTCCCAGGTGACCCTTCCCCTTCTGAATTTGTTACAGAGACTTTCCTCCTACCCCAAACCCAGTCCTTTCAGGACACTGACCCTATGTCCACTACTAATTTAGACAATACTAAGGACGATATCCTACTGGATACCAATGGTTGTCCTCTATTTGACCCACGCTGCATCAGACACCCCCTGATCACATTGCAAAATATTGCAGATTATGGCTTTGTAAACCCTTAGAAAAGGAGATTAGGGCCAAATTAAGAGCAGAATGTCCACGGCCTATGATCCCTGATAAGGTGGCTGTCACCCCTGAACTTGACCCACTCCTGGTCACTTTTCTAACTAAGACGGGTAAAGATCCCCGCAAAGGAATCGAAGTTGGCTTAAAAGCCACCCAGGACAAGCTGATGGATATAGCAGGCCCGCTTATCCCGATTTTTATAATTGATGATGAGACGCTAGCAGGAGGCAATTTTGACGCACACATGGTGCGTGAATGGGCACAAAGAGCGTTATGCCTGTTAGGCAACGCCAATGTAGCTATTTCCGTTGAATGGCGTAAAGCCGTGTTACATAAAATTGATGCCAAATTGGCAGAACTAGGCACCAAAGAACTTGGTCCAGAGGTTAACGGACTATTATTCGGGGACAGGTTCATACGAGACCTGAATAAACACGTATCCGTGTTTACCTCCCTTAAGGCACAATGGAACCTTCGCAGGGTGTTCAGACCCCAGCGTTTTTCCGGGAGAGCTGGTCGCTATAGGGGCCGAATGACTGGCAGAGCTGCCTTCACAGGCTACAGGCCTCAACCAGCAGACTCATGGAATTCGGGCAATACCCGTTTCTACCACAAGCAGTTCTTTCCCTCTAGACGTTCCATCAGAGGATGTGGATATGCTTCCCTCTTATTCTCAAGTTCCTATTGCAGGTCGGCTAACCCTTTTTTTCCAACAGTGGTCTCTATTAACTCAGGATCCATGGATCCTTCAAACTGTATCTGGTTTCCATATAGATTTTGCAAACGACCCTCTACAAGAGTTCCCCCCTCCACCTCTGCACATGTCTCAAGAGGACAATGCGACTTTGGAGGCGTGCTAAACGACCTTGTCGCCAAGGGCGCTATAGAACGTTCTCGATCCCCTCACAGATTCATAAGCAACATATTTCTGGTCCGAAAACAGTCAGGGGACTTTCGACCAGTTATCAACCTGAAAGACCTAAACACTTTTATTGTTTACCAACATTTCAAAATGGAGGGTATCCACCTCCTTCAAGACCTACTCTGCGAGGGAGACTGGTTCTCCCGTTTAGACTTGACAGATGCTTACCTCACGGTTCCTATAACACCGGCCCATCGCTGTTTCCTACAGTTCAGATGGCATCAAGACTTATGTCAGTTCACATGCCTTCCCTTCGGACTCTGTTCCGCACCCTGGTGTTTCACCAAGCTGACGAAACCGGTCATGGCCTTGCTACGCTCCCAAGGGTTTCGCTCCATCATATATCTGGACGATATCCTCCTTATGGCTCGGGACCCAGGCACTCTACGCCTCCATACAGACATGACCACAGCTCTGTTACAAAACTTGGGGTTCGTGATCAATGTCCAAAAATCCATCCTCACCCCATCTAAGGTGGTTCAATTCCTAGGATTCCAAATAGATTCCGTTTTGGCTGTCCTACAACTCCCTTCAGTAAAGATCAAGAACATCAAAAAAGACATCAGAAAAATTCTAGCCTCTTCGACTATCCGCCTTCGCGACTTAGCTCGCATAATCAGACTACTCTCCGCCTCAATTCAGGAGATCTTCCCAGCTCCTTTACATTACCGAGCAATGCAATGTCTGAAGACTCGCTCGTTACGTCACTCTGCATCTTACGATCAACAGATCTCCTTGACAGACAAAGTCCGACTCGAATTGAACTGGTGGCTACACCATATGGAGGCATGGAATGGGAGAGCGATCTTTGGATCACAGCCAGATTACATCCTAGAATCAGATGCCAGTCTGCTGGGCTGGGGTGCATCATGCGTAAATCTCTCTACTGGAGGCTCTTGGTCCCCATCAGAATGAGCATTGCACATCAATTGCCTCGAGTTGATTGCCGGGTCCTTTGCGATTCGCAGTTTCGCAAAGGACTCCTACAATTGTTCCCTAGTACTGAGAATGGACAACATCTCAGCTGTTCAATACGTGAATCGTTTAGGGGGATCCTGTTCCAAAATGCTCTCAGACCTCACAAAAGAACTATACCAGGAACATCTCCCTGCGAGCGGAGTATCTACCGGGTTCAGACAACTTAGTCGCAGATTGGTTCTCTCGACACTGGAGAGACTCCAGCGACTGGCAATTGGACCCACACGTTTTTTACTGTCTCCATCTTCTTCGGGGTCCATTCAATATCAACCTATTTGTGTCTCGTCTGAACCGACAGATGGACACTTTTTTCAGTTGGTTGCCGGATCCGACCTCTCTGGCAGTAGACGCCTTCCTTCAATCTTGGCCAATGACCGGCGCTTATGCCTTCCCTCCGTTGATCCTTCGCACTCTCCATCATCTCAGGACTCAGGGGACCACAATAACACTGCTGACCCCTTTGTGGCGTACCCAGCCATGGTTCCCCAATCTCTTGGAGATGTCGGTGAATTATCCACTACTGCTACCTGCCACGCACGATCTTCTCAAAGATCCCGCAGGCAATTTTCACCCTCTTGCGTTGCAGGGTCATCTCCAGCTAATGGCCTGGACTGTTTCAGGGGATCCTGGAATGCCGCAGGACTTTCGGAGTCTGCTAGAGCACTCTTATGGGACTCATGGGCCCCCAGGACTAGACGCTCTTACCTCTCAGCCTGGCGAGTTTGGCATCGCTGGTGCTCGGAAAGGTGTATTGATCCCGTTTCAGCTTCTTTGATTAACGTCATGAACTTTTTGTCCTCTCTTTTTGATCAAGGTAAATCCTACAGATCCATTAATGTGTTTCGTTCAGCAATTTCGGCAGCTCATGGCCCCATTGATAATACAGCAATAGGTAAACATCCCTCCATCTGTAGACTGTTGCGTGGCATTCGTCTTGCTCGACCTCCTGTCCCAAAATATTCTAATTTTTGGGATGTTGCTCGTTTTGTCCTTCCTAGAGACTTGGCCACCCAATGAAGCACTCTCTTTACGACAACTGTCGGCCAAATTAGCTTTGCTCCTCTGCTTGGTTTCTTTTAGGAGAGTCTCTGATATTCAAGCATTTGACTTTCACGCTATTGAATTCACGCCCCAAGGTATATGTTTCAACATTTCTCGCCGCACTAAAACTAATTCCTTAACGCTTACCCTTATTTTTCCGACAGACCATCGCTTTACATTGCTCGTTGTGTCCAACACTACGTCGCCTCTACATCACCTCTACGTCCCCCTACGGGCCCCCTGTTTATCTCATATGTGCGACCACACAAGCCAGTGTCTTGTCCCACGATTGCCCGCTGGATTAAATGGCTTCTAGATTCAGCGGGCATAGATTCATCTTTTGGCGCTCATTCTGTCAGAGGTGCTCCTGCCTCTTCTGCCTTTATAGCTGGGGGATCCCTTGCAGACATCCTAAAATGCACTGATTGGTCTAGAGAATCTACCTTCCGTACCTTCTATTTTCGACAATCGTCCCATGCTTCTTTTTCTTTGGTTTCCACGCTTTAAAACAGCAAATATGAAGCCTCCTGTCTTGCCATAAAATTCGGGATTATTCTAGCTTTAGTGACTGAATAATCTAAATTTTATTAAAGACAGGAGGCGAATATTTTCCCACCCTATTGATCTCCCACCCAGATTTTTTTTCAGATCACATGTACTCTTAAAATGTTTTCTAGGTTTCTTGTGAGACTTTATATTTATCTGACTTTATCTGACGGTGCTTATCAATCTGCCTGGTTCTGATTATTTTAAATTTTGCAATAGTTATACTCGTAATATCCAGGGGGTAGATCTGTAAATGTAGAAATCTTGCGGACACCCAGTCCAAGTGACCATACTTTCACGATCTTTCTCTGTCTTTTAGTGTGAAGTTTCTCTACATGAGCCACGAAGACTACGTTCCTTTGGTCTCTAGTATCGGCTGCGTTCTGGTTTACATGGTTGATGGATTACTCAAGTTTACACGGTTGACTACACTTATGATCGGCTGCATCAGAAAGAGGATTTGGGAGGAGCCTGACAGACTGTTATGTTCTAATATGTGTCCTGATTGGTTGATTTTTTCTCTATATGTTTAACTATTTCTTTGCTGCTGGGAGGTTCAGTAAAGAAGGTTAAAGCAAATATTCGCCTCCTGTCTTTAATAAAATTTAGATTATTCAGTCACTAAAGCTAGAATAATCCTGAATTAAACCTTACAAGACCCTGGGAACTAGTGTTGGTTCCTCTGAACGCGCAGATTAATTCCCTGCAAACCACAAGGAGATGGCACATAGAATGCTGGACCCAACTGACAAATTCTCCTACGGCAGCAATGGGATGACTTGTGCAAGGAAGTACTACTCCCACCCACTTGCAGTCTTCTGTTCCATTTTTGTTTTATTGTGTTATCCATTTACAAACTATATATGATGCATATGTAGCACACCACTAAGGGTAACCTCATACAGCTCCTAAACCTTCTTATATTTGATCAAGCCATTACCAAGACAACGGTATGTGGCTACAATGTTATTGCCCGACATATGATACTCCTCTTCTCTCAAAGATCTGATATGATATACAATTCCGGCCTACCTGCACCTCCACTGAAGCAGAGTCTCACAGTCCTCACTGGAGATCCATCCTACAACCTGGCTTGACTTGCAAGTATCCTAAGAGGAGAAAGGGTCAATGCACCAAATCAATGTCTTCTTAACTGTGGCTCTGTGGGGATTCAAACTTGAATTACATTTATAACCCTTGTCATGTTATGACGTAGACTGGAAGGAGCAGGTGTGGAACAAACTGTAGAAGCATCACAATATGGCGGAGTCTAACCTGCTTCCAGAAGATGGCTAAGCCACAGACTTCGACTTTGGACAGAATTATTGTATATACACTGATCAGCCACGGCATTAAAACCTCCTGCTTAATATTGTGTATGCCCCCTCGTGCTGCCAACATAGCTCTGATGCGTCAAAGCATGGACCCCGCAAGATCTCTGAATGAGATCTGCAAAATCTGGCACAAAGATATTAGCAGCAGATCTTTTAAGTCATGCAAATTGCGAGGTGGGCCCTCCATGGATCGAATTTGTTATTCCAGCACATCCCACAGTTGCTCAATCGAATTAAGACATGGGGAATTTGGAGGCCTTGAACTTTTTGGCATGTTTCTTAAACCATTCCTGAAAAATATTTGCAGTGTGGCAGGATGCATTATCTTGCTGAGAGAGGCTTCTGCCACCAGAGAACACCATTGCCATGAAGGGGTGCATATGGTCGGCAACAATCTCTGGGTAGGTGGTACGGGTCACATAAATGCCAGGAGCCAAGGTTTCCAAACAGAACATTGCCCAGAGCATAACATTGCCTCTGCCAACCTGCTTTGTTCCCACAGTGCATTTTGCTGCCATTTCTTCCCCAAGTAAACAATGCACATGCACCTGGCCATCCACCTGATTTAAAAAAAAAAAAAAAAAAATGTGATTCATCAGACCAGGTAAACTCCATGGCAAAGTTTTAATGCTCATGTCCCCATTGAAAGCTTTCAAAGCTTTCCCATTAAAACAGGTACTTATTTTGATCAGATCCCAGTCATATGCCACAATAAATGTTTTACCGTAGAAGCTCTGCATTCTCCTACATAATGGTAAACTCAGGGACAAATAAAACGGATTTTACAGAAATCATTTCCTTTATATTCCATCTGAAGAATAGGTCACTGAGCTAATTTGTAAACTGAAAAAAATAGGTTAATATGTAAATGTCATACATTAAATTTGGGTCCCTGATGAAAAGGAATAGTACCATTTACACAATGGTTTAACATACATAACATTTACGTGTAGTGCACTTCATTTGCTATACAATATTTGCCCAGTAAAAATCATCAAAGTAAAACTGTTCATTTATCAGAATTGCCCATTCCCTACACAGCCAAACATCTTGGAAAAAGGTAAATACACATTATGTGGATGAGAGAAGCCACTTTAAGAAAAGGGCATACAAGCCTAAATATGAGTTTTTAACTCTATAAATACCAGTGCAGTGCGCTGTTAGTCTCACACCCTCCATGACAATAGGATTTAAATCACTGCCTTTTTTGAATTTATCCATTTAAATGTCTTAAAAGTGATCAGTCATGATTCAGAAAGAACAGTTAGGTTTCAGCAACGCAACAGCACCTCATAGTGGAGAAAGATGTACAATACATCCATTGATGATACATAAGTACAGCAACTATCATATCGCTTCTGCCCAAAATCAATTGAAGGGACAATTACCACCAAAGCACCATAATCACTACAGCCAGCAGGAAAAGTCAGATGTCACTTTAGGGCAAAGCAGGACTGATGCAGGACCGCAATCATTTGCTAAGAGCACTCAGCTGCCTCTCAGCCAATGACTGATCTTACTTTGCTCTAATGTGACATCAGTTCTAAAATGGAAACAACTTGACTAAAATGGTTTGCCATCTTACCATGGGGCAGCGACAGGGTACTCTAACCATTACAAGGACTGTAGTGGTTTTGGTGTCGGAATGTTCGTTTAAGGAGGAAAGCTTAAGGCCAAAGCCATCAATGTAACTGAAAGTACGGAAAATTAATAATGAAACAAGTACATTATTTGTAGTTTTTCTTTTTATTATTCCACAGTAATCCGTCCGTAATGGCAAGATAGTGTGCAGCGATTCAAGTCTTTCTTTTACAGATTTTTAATCAGTAGATGTACACATTTGCAAATGACTGAAAATGCTAATTAATTTTTAAACACAATGTCCATGGCCAGTTTAAAAAATAAATCAGAAATGTTATTTCGATTTATACAGCAAGAAACCAAATTACATGTTGGCTTACGGTTGCAAGAAGGTAAGAATTTAATTTAATTCTTACGGGTGAAAAATGTATCCCTTCCACAAAGAGAGCGAGACATCTCATATAGTGCTACGATTCTGTTATGGATATAATTAACTCTAGGAAATCTATTTGTTATTATGCTTGACAGAGAATTTTTTGGTTTTTACGTAAAAAATGAAGTTTAAAGGCGTACACAATTGTATTTTTCAAGATGGATTTGGCCCATAGTATGCATAATTCTCCCGTGTCACTTGCTATGCTGTTGAGCACACTTGTATTTATTAGATATCATATACATACATTACTGTGTGCATCTTTGTGTAGATGTTCATATACACATATACATTAGGATTCAAACTTACAAACACAAATGTAGAAGTATTTGCTATATGGTTACATATGTATTTACATACATGCAAATCCAACTTTACATTTGGCACATCTTTGCCTCCACAACAGGCCTTTCATTAATACTGTGTTGCTGAAGACATAAACGGGGTCATTTACTAGAGTGAGAATTCAAAATGAATTTAAGGCCAAAGTAGCCGAACTGACAGCAAAGTTGACTTAGAGAATTTTTCCAGTTTGGCTTTTTTTACCTTAAATTTAAAATTCACCTTGACTTCTTACTTTACTGAATATTCATGAAAGTATATTATAGCATGCGACTGTGCTTCCATACGAAGAAAATATTCAACAAATACTAGTGTTTATGGAGAACGATTATTACCATTAAGGCTCTATAGCTCATGGAAGCTTTTAAGTCAACATCATTAGGAAGGCAGTGGACAACTCAGCTGTTAGATATTACAGTGTATTTAAAATAGGTCACCCTGGCATGCTTTATGAGAGCTTTCTCAAAAATAAAATAAAACAGATTGAAGGATAAATTAATTTGTCTTGAGCAGTGGCTAGGCAGTATTCAACAGAAAAAAAAAATCTCCACTGGAAAAATTGTCATCAAAAGTGTGGATATGTGTTTATTTAAAAAGTTCACTTCAATTTTGGAAAAAAAATGTTTTTATATATACATTAAAAAAATGTACAAATGCCATGATGTGCTGGAAAAGAGAACATTTATAAAAAGACCGAATTTGAAGTCTGTAGATTCTACAGTTCCCATAGCATGGCCCCGAGGGTCCAGATGTGACACTGATGACACTTCATGCTGTTATACCTTCTTCTCACTTCACGTTCTACGTGTCTTTTGTCTTTTTGGAAGTCTTTTAGCATCCTCTGGGCTGCCAGCGTCTGTGCCCGTCTGCCCAAGAGCACGGACGCCTTGCAATCGACTTGTCAGCTGCAGCAGCAGGGGAATCAACTGACACGGGGTTGAAAGACACAGAGAGAAGTGAGTTTCTTTATCGAAAGTGGAAAAAGATTTAAGACAGGCAACGCTACTTCAAGACTACTCAGGTTATAATTAAATTATTTAAATATTCAAGCATATCACAATTAATTTAATAAAAGCTGGGAAAGCAATTTGTACTTTAATAAATGTTATCAGAGGCTGTAGTGTATAGATACAGACTCAAAAACAAGGACCAGTGGAGTCTGTGTTTAGATGTCCATTTAAATCACATAAGTAAAAGAGATGAAATATTATGTTATGGTGAACAGGGCAATGTGTGTACAATACGCTGATGAATAATTGCTTATAGGAACACTCCAAACACCTAAAGCACTTTAACTTGCTTATGTGTTTATGTGTAAAGAGTCTGTCCTCTGATTCATTGAACATAAAGTGCAGATTTCAATAAAAAGCAAAAACCAAGGGATAGCTGCATTGAGAAGTCTGGGCTGGGCTGGCAAACGTTTCAAACAAGAGATCTGCCACTTTTTTCAAGCTGTATTTAGATACATGCCCAATGAAAAAGGCATGATTTCACTGGGTGTAACTACTAAATAGGGATCTTTTTTGGTATTTGGTTAGCGGAGTGCTCCTTTAAGGTAATGTAGATTTAAATTAGTGTGAGCATTATGGGAAATGTAGTTAACATAGATCTGGAATGAAAATTCTAGCCATCACTGCCCAATATTTTGCTCTGCAGTTTTTTTAATCAAGGCAAAGGGAGGCATTATCAAAATGAAAATAAAAAAAAATAAAAAAAATAAAACTCTTCCGTAAGCTGGCAAAAACACTCGATAAGTTTGCAGTTTCTGACACAGTCTGACCTACACTGCAGCCACAAACGATTTACACATGTCAAGTTAAACAAAACGTGACAGATGTTTCAACAGATCTCTCCTGGCACCGGTTTTCTTATATAACTTGAGAACATGTGAGCACAGTGGTCATTACACAGGTTCCTAAGTAATTACTATTAATATGCAGAAGGGAACGTTATAAATGAGTTTGTCTGATTGGCATTCTGTAACAGCATCTTGTTTAAAGAGAAAGGATGTGCTTACCTTATCATGATTATAAGCAGCTAATAGTAGAAGAAGAGTCAAGGGAAGAGCCAGGTAGGAGCCCTGGACGATATCTTGCTCTGGCAACTTTCGCTAAATCATAATGAAATTAAAACAATAATTAAAACAAAAGTGCAAAGATTATAAGGCACAATTGCAAACATAACAATGCTGGACAATTACAGAAAACAATCATACATTGATCGCTCTCAATAGTACAAGAAATGTTCTCGCAAGTAAAATGAAGGTTGGTTTTACTCATTAACGTAATGAATCCTATTCAGACAAGCACATCGCGAATGTAAGTACATCCCACCCCAGGTATGAGAAACTAGAATATTAACTACTTTTAGCAAATGTAAATGTAGATCCTAGAAAGAGACAAAAACAGGTTATGAGACTGAGAAACCGTCAATGACAGTCTGACACAGAAAAGCAAAAGATATAGAAAACAAAAAATAAGACACACACGGTTGGCCGGTAAGGGACAATTCACACATTCAGATGTAAATCCCCAATGATCCAAATAAACATGAAGAAAGTTACAGAGAGATCAACCTACACCTCAAACAATTCACAGGCAAAGATAAGGAATTCAAGAATATTAGAGATGTCCAAAAGGCTATTCTGAAGAGCAAACAAATTAGATCATTATCGACAGACAATATATGCCAACCAAGTCTCATCGCCATCACAACTGTCGGTTCTATATTGATATTACAGTGGGATGCACCTTTACAAAAAACATTTATGTCATAAATAAAGGCATATTTAGACAGAACTCTTGCAAACAACTAAATAATTATGTAATAATTGTATTGATATTATATTTATCGATATCTATTTATTAAAAAAAAAAAAACATTTTAAAAAGAGGATCTGTCATTTCTCTGGAACTTAGGCCACTAATTAAAACATTAAAAATCATCTACGGTTAATCTTATTGATACAACGTGCTCCATTTCCCTCTACATTTATATTAATGATTTAACTAATTACATCATACTCCAATTCAGACATGGCAAAGTCAGGGCAAACATTGCACAGTTTCATTTCTCTCTGTATGTTTTCTCTATACAAACAGCTATGTCCACAAGACACAGCTTATAACACTGATTGCCATGGAACCCAGGTCCAGGATAAAGAAGTGGCCTGGGTGCAGTGGCTCTATCAATGTAAACCTTTTAGGCAAAACACCTCCAGTGGCTAAAATCCACTGGTGGCCCTTCCACGGCGCTGACAGAGTCAAACTCAGTCACATGATGGGCAAACTCGAATAGGAAAGCACTGATACAATGCTTTGAAACTGGGAAGTCTGTAGAGGAGCATTGGGGACCTGACGAGCATACTCATCAAAAACCATTCCAGAGGAAGCAATGCCTCCACCATGATTTAGATGAGTAGGAGAGATAAGTAGCGCTGAGGGAGCCACAGTGCTGAAAAGGTGTGTAAAAGCCAAATTGTATTTCAATGGGACATGTCTGATGCGAGGGGGAGGGGGGTATAGCAGATCTATCTTACAAGGGACCATAACACAAAACATATTTCACTAGCAAAGCTTACACGCAAAAACCCATAGTGCAACAGCGATGTATTGTATTCTTATAGATATTCAGTATTCCTCTGTACAACAGAGATATTTCATGTCATTTTACGCTGCAACCAGAAACATTCTTAGTAATTATTGGAAACGAACCGTAGGGCTGAACAGCAATGTGATGTGTTTGTTATATCCAAGAGTGTTGAAGGAGATGTGAGGCAGTATGTAGTCATACTGTGATTTTGGTAAAGAAGAATCCAATTGCACAACATAATTCTGTAAGTGGAAAGAGAGGAAGAAAATTTAATTAATAAAGATGATTGTATATCAAGTCACATTTCCCTTTCACATCTAAATACCTTCCACAAAAACCGCCTTGGCAAAATTCACAAGCTGTCCATGTTCATTTAATAAAACCATCTGCCATGGGAGAGCGGGACCACCAATAACAATGTATGATGAAAAATGATGCTAGACACTTATGTGTCTAGCTCACGTGGTAAATGTACCAAATGTGGTGCCTGTTCAAGCCTCAGGATCACAAGTTTAATATCTAGCAGGATGAGCTCAGAATATCAATATTTTTAAGATTAAAAACATAAGTACCATTATGATAAGTAAAAGTAACAGGTTTTTTTTAACTTGTGATTTTTCTCTGGTTATACCACACGTTTGTCACCAGGCATAGCTAGAAGCAGCCACATTAGGCGGACCTATAGTCCAGGGGTACCTAATTCTTCATCTATCACATCTACACACGGCCAGTTAACATTGACTTATTGTTTCCAGATGCCTGACAACCTGCATCACATACTCACTAAGGAACGTGTGGACCAACCAGGTTTCTATACAAGTCATTGTACCTGACTAATTGCACTCTATCCACTATCAAACCACATAAACACGTTCAGTCTGACCAACTTGATTAAAAACCTTTTGTGGTCCAAAGGATATGCCTCACTGCTTTTTTACCAACGATCTGGACCTCAATGCATTGACCGAACCACAATGTTATTTCTCTAACAAATAAATAAAATAAAAACGTGCAGTTTATGGTTTTGTTTTTTGGATATCACCTGCTGTGATGTTTACTACTTTGCTGTGGCTATTATCCATGCTATATACATGCAAATAAAAAATAAATAAATAAAAAAGTAACATATGTTAGTTCGGTGAAAACAAGTCCTAGAGAAACTTATGTAAAAAAACAGATTATTAATATTATTCAAAATGGTTACAATGTTCCCAATTGCACATAAGAAGCTTTCATATAGACTGTATTTAAAGGCCAACTAAAGTCACCAAGGCCACTTGATCTCTATGAATTGGTCTGGGTGCAGTTGTCCTGTCATTTTAACTCTGCAATGTAAAAAACGTAGTTTCGTAGAAAGAGCAATGTTTACATTGAAGGGTAAAAAACACCTCTAGCAGCAGTCTTCCTGAAGCCACTTTTACTTCCAAAATAGAGTGAAACTCTGCTCTGTAATCAAATGCTTGCCTATCTCTAATCCAAAGCTTCTCTAAGAGAAGCACGGGATTGGATGGGCTTGTGGAAGGCGTCAGCAGTCAAGCAACGAAGGAGTCTAGGTGCAGGAAATTAACTTGTAATTATTATTTCCAGAGACATTCCAATGCCCAAATATAAAATTTTAAAATAAAATAACTGTTTAGTAGAAATAAACAAAGACTAAAGGTAATCCCTAGCAAAGTGAGCTTTGGGAGTACCAAATTAGAAAAAGGATCTATGGGTATGCACTAATGTTAAATTAAAAAAAACCTTTATTGTAGGGTTTAGGTTCCCCAAACATATATACCGACGGAGTTCTTCCCTGTGTGTGTTTTTTAGATGTGATGGTTTTTTAAGTTTCCTTTTTTCTCTTTTTGGGGAACATAAACCCTACAATAAAGGTTTTTTTAATTTAACATTAGTGCATAACCATAGATGCTTTTTCTAATTTGGTACTCCCATAGCTCACTTTGCTAGGGATTACCTTCAGTCTTATTTTTGTAAACACTATAAGGGTTACCCCCCTATTTAAGGTTCTATGGACACACTATAGATTCCGACCATTAGGAATCATATCTTTCTGCTTCTTGTAGAAATAAACTAAATGAAAACTTGCATTAATTTAATTTTTTATTGGGGGTCTATCTAAAACACCTTGCAAAACCTGCAGTTCTCTTGTCTGCTACCTTCGTAATCCCTCCCCCTTCATCCACAGCACAGACTTTCCATGCTGTCCAATCACAGACTTTCCGTGCTGTCCAATCACAGGACAATCAACTCCATATATCTCTACCCTTTCATGGGTTATGTGCCTGACAAGGTTTAATTCTAGGAAGTGGGAAAAAAATGCAACCTATAGGAAATTATATTCAAAATGTAACTACATAATACATAAGAAAATAAGAGAATATATTTACCTCTCCATCTCGGAGCAGAGGTGGAAAGTGGAAAAACAGTGATTGCCCCAAAGATACAGACTGTATTGGATTGTCAAGATTATCACTTTTGTAAAGTTTTACCTAAAAGAGGAAACATATGTACACTATTTGACATAGAAACAACAAATTGTATATTTCAGACTTTTGGGAAAAGATTAATCTTTCATGTGTTCATTATTAACATGTTAACAACTACCAATGAGGTAGTTTTACTAGTATCTGTTCAGTGAAAAAGGGTCCTATACATAAACGTTAAGTAGGCCAGCCTTCTGAAGGAGAGCTGTCAACACTTTAGCGAAACCATCTGACAATTTCTGAATTCAAGAATTAAAAAAAACCACTGACAATAACTGTTCAGTTAATTAGCCCAGTGGTTCCTAAACCAGTCCTAAAGGCAACCCCACAAGTCCAGAATTTAGGGATTATCCTGTTGTGTCTAAGGTGTTTTTTGGGAGGTGTGGGGGAATTAGCCAAAAAATTTGAAATGGTTTGTGCTTGAGAAGGATATCTTCTCATTATAACCACTTTCTACGCTGATGACATGTTGAAGCAACGCAAAATATATAGCATAAATGTACAAAGGCAGCCAAGAAAGCAATGTCAATTATAAAATAAAAACTATTGTTAATTTTAAAAAATTTTTAAAAAATCTTTTACAAAAATAAAGCACAACCTATCGCCAACATATCTAGCTGGCTGTACAAAAACGTACTTTTGACTACTGCATTTGAATTGCGGTGACACTTACCAACAGGGTTGACAGGTATTCAGAAGGAGCGATAACATTTCCACTGATGTCAAACTGGTTTATCTGACGGAAGGCGATAATGTTTACTTCGTCAATATCAGTACTGCCAACCTATAAAGACAGAGTCAGAAAATGTTGTGCTTTGTGAAACACTTTACTCGTCAAATACTTTAAAGGACCACTATAGTGCCAGGAAAACACTCATTTTCCTGGCACTATAGTGCCCTGAGGGTGCCTCACCCTCAAGGACCCCCTCCCGCCGGGCTGGATGGCGAGGAAAGGGGTTAAACCTTTTTTCCTGCGCCATGCGGGGAGCTCTCCTTCTCTCCGCCTCTTCGGCTGAATGCGCATGCGAGGCAGGAGCTGCGCGCGCATTCAGCCAGTCTCATGGGAAAGCATTTACAATGCTTTCCTATGGACGCTGGCGTCTTCTCACTGTGATTTTCACAGTGAGAAGCACGCAAACGCCTCTAGCGGCTGTCAATGAGACAGCCACTAGAGGCTTTAGAGGCTGGATTAACCCTATTATAAACATAGCAGTTTCTCTGAAACTGCTATGTTTATAAAAAAATAAAAAATAAAAAAAAAGGGTTAATCCTAGAGGAACCTGGCACCCAGACCACTTCATTAAGCTGAAGTGGTCTGGGTGCCTAGAGTGGTCCTTTAATGGATATCAAATATAATTTTAACTACCATGCTTTTTTTTTTTTTATTCAAAATCTAGGGAGGGCAAAACTCACTTTAAATGAGGGAAGGTTTTTGAGATTTTAATGAATCATGGAAACTGCTGAACTACTCATATCTTGAAATCGTAAAGATGTATAATAACTACATCTCCATTTTAATTTGGAGCGGTTATTGCAAAACTCATTGCCACGCAGGCTGCTTTTTATATAATGGCTCCTGTACCAGTACTCAAATTAACTAGGGCTTAATTTTATTAATTTTTAAAGTGACCTGGCATTAAAGTCAGCTCCAGATGAATATTAAAATATCATTCTATGTTTCACTTACAAAATTGTCAGCAAATGTAAATGTCGCAAGTCAAAAATAAGTAAAGAATTAAAAGTAAAGAAAAAGTAAGTAATGAAATCATCTGTAAGATACTTATTAATGAATTCAAGATGGTGGATGGGTTAAGGAGATGTACGTCAAATGAATGTCCATTTATATATCAGAAACAGGGTTATTAATTAAACCAAGGTTTATCAGAAATCCTACATTTTATAGGTATTTGATGGTCCTGACCTTTGTCTCAGTCTTCGCTTTAAAATATACTTGGAATGAAATTTGCTGCTGCCTGCACTCGTACGTTAGTCATGGTGGGTTCAATCACATCTACCCACGGTATATCGAAGACAATAAATAACTCAAAATGCTAAATAGACAACGGGTTGGGTACATACACGTGTATACATTTGCCATTGCCATTTTTAAATGTCAAAACCTAAAATCAAGATGTCCTCTATGCACTAGACTTGGGATTTGAGAAATGTTAGATTTAATATAGAGTGATGAAATGCCATTAATGCCTGAAAGATACACATTAAGTGTGAGCTTTCACATGGCAGAGGGCATCTCTCACAATGATAAATGAGACCATGCCTCTATTCTGGTATAAGTTGTGTGAAGCGCTCTTGAACCATACACATATCAAAGGAACCTTTTGGATGAATCCAACATGCAGCCTGACCCCCAACTTACCTTTAGCTATATGTATGCCACTTTCACCTTCAGTAAACCCGATTTGTTGATACTTTCACAATGTTCCACCCCTCCTCACATTACATTAATTGCAATGTAAAATTTAAAAAAATATATGTGCATGCAAACAGTGTTAATTTTGTCGACTAACAATTTTAGTCGACTAAAACGGCTTTTTAAAACTTCTACTAAAATTAAACTGACATTTGCTGCCAAAATTAACACTGCATGTAAGGACCCCAGAGCATAATGTCTACTAGAGATAATCCATAGAATAGATATAACAGACATACATCTCACCGGATGGCAGCCTGTGTTCACCAGCTTTCAATGCAAGGCCTGATGCAATATAAAGACGCAGAGCTGCGATAACAGATTATTAGTTACCCCTGCATTTGAGGACCTACATGCATAGAGCCTAATTACCCATAACCTGGATAATCTCACACCACATGGGCAGATTGGCAAAGAACAGACTACACACATGAAACTGAGGTCTTATAGTTCAAACGGTTATGATGATTTGCAGGGTGTTTCTGATTCAAGACCTGCGTGCCTCCTGTTTTGTTATTACAGCTGAGAGATCTGCATATCTCGCCACTTCGACTTACATGTTTACTGTTTAGGGGACCTGCGTGTCTCCGCATGTCACTGCCTTCATCGTTACCAATTAAAACATTTCTACGAATATATAAAAAATAAAGAAGAACGTTGGACCATGTTACATAGCGTTAATACTCACATCTATTGCCCGATAAGATGGCAGAGCACGTTCAATATGATCATTTCCCTCAGCTTTTAGCTGCACATGATAGACACAGCCCGGCTGCAAAGACAAGGACGTACAATCACAGCCATGGTCATGAGTCTGGTGTACAAGATCTTAAGAGAAGTAAAGTGGCAACATAGAATACATGCAAAAAAATGCATTCTGTGTTTAAGACATTTTATGTAAACTGCTGATTTGCTATGTACAAGAACACCATAGGTGTTGCTTTAAAAGAACATACAAGGTATCATACGAACTTATATACTCTTTGCATCATTTACAGCATACAGTTTCCAAACAAAAAGAAAAGTGATGATCCCCAAAACAACAAATGCTAGAGGCCCAGCCTCTGACTCTGACAAGTCATGGTAAAACTAACTCACCCAAATATAACTCTTTTACATGTCTCAACAGCTTACAGAGAAGGAGCTTGTGCCCCACCTGAAATAATTTTTTCTTTAACCCCTTAAGGAATAAAAGGGAATCATGACATGTCACACATGCCATGTGTCCTTAAGGGGTTAAAGGGACACTATAGTCACAAAATAACTTTAGCTTAATTAAGAAGTCCTTGTGTATAGATTATGCCCCTGCAGTATAAATGCTAAATTATCTGCCATTTAGGAGTTAAATCACTTTGTTTATGCAGCCCTAGGTACTCCTCCCTGCATGTGACTTACAAAGCCTTCCTAAACACTTCCTGTAAAGAGTCACCTAATGTTTATATTTCCTTTATTGCAAATTCTGTTTAATGTATAATTTCTTATATCCTGCTCTGTTTATAGCTTTCTAGACTCTACAGGAGATACAAACTTTTAAAGTAAGTTCCATCTAATTGAAAATGAAACCTTTGTTATTTTCATGCAAGCTGTGTCAGTCACAGCTAGGGGAGGTGTGGCTAGGGCTGCATAAACAGAAGCAATGTGATTTAACTCTTAAATGGCAAAGAATTGAGCAGTGAGACTGCAGGGGCATGATCTATACACTAAAACGATTCCATTAAGCTAAACTGGTTTTGGTGACTATGGTGTCCCTTTAAATACAGAATCTACATAAGGAGCTGTAATGGGGTAGGGCAACCTTTGGCACTCCAGACTTTGTGGACTAGATCTTCCATAATGCTATTACAGCTGCAATGCTGGCAAAACATTGAGGGGGGAATGTAGTCCATAACAACTGGTGTACTGATCACTGCCTACCCCAGTTGTAGTGAGAGTCTGTAATCTCAACAGTCTTTAGTGCATGGGTAGAGAATGCAGTGAAACTGATCTACTCCAGTGATTGCCAAGCTCAGCTCCATAGATTCTTACAAACTGCACTTCCTATGAAATTCTATGCAATTTAATAGAATTGTAAGAAAGTATGAGAAGGATATCATTACCATGCAGACCACATGTGTAAATTAGACTTAATTTATGCAATATGTGGGTCACAAAATGGCACAATGACACGTTTGTCTTCATCCTTCTACATTATTTTGCTGTTGCCAGCTCATGGAATACATATTTTATTTAAACTATTTTCCATATTAACAGTGATTCAGCATGATGCTTATATATGCTGTTACACTTGTAGACTTTACGTCATTGCACTTTCATTACTCATGTTGTGGGAGTGAGCCGTAGTATGCCACAATTACCTGTAAATGGAACCTGCTATATCCCTTGGGGATTTTTCCAAGGGATGATACATTTTAAAGTGGATTTATGGTTTCTATTTTTTTTTTTATTATTTTTTTTATAATCAGCAAACACTGCATCTGTTCTATGTTAACGATTTCTGACAGTAAAATGCTTCTGTTGCCATCGAACAAACTTACAATTGATTAGCAAAAGAGTTGTGGCATCTGCCAGAGATTTAAGGGTTTTAAACTGGATCTATCACTTTTGAGGGGGTCTTTGTTCTACGAAGGCAACATCTCTGGTTAGGGTTCGGTGGCCGTGTGGTGCAGGGGAAGGTAGGTTTACTTGTCTGAAACGGTCTGTTGTGACCATTGCTATATTCTTCCACCAGGCCTTCTTAGGCTGCTGATGCTTCATCTGCCAGGTGCCATGAGAATACTACACTGAGGTCTATGGATGACCAAGCAAGCCTTCTTAGATCAAGGCTCGCGATGAACGAGACGATCCTTGAAACCCACAGCCATCACTTGAAATAGCGGCAAGGATTGGAGAAACGTGATGGCAGAGCTCTGCCTTTTATCAACCTCAGAGCTGCCAATTAGACAAACAAGGTCTTCTGGTATCTATGGATTGAATTTCACTGACATTCCAATGCAGTCAGCGTTAGTATTTCCTAACAACTATATCTTTATAAAATACTGAGAAGTGGCAGAGCCGCTTTAAGTGCCAATTTAAAAACCAAAACATGTGCATTTCTGATGGCAAGTCATGTTTAGTGCTATTTGAGCCCTTGTGAGATTGGTTAACAGTTGGTTCATTAAAGGCTTCTCCCTCTTTCCATGCAGTCACAATTTAGAACAAAGGAAAATATCTGCTTTGCAATCAGAAACCAAATATCAGCTGCTAACTTATACGAAAAATGAGGCAATCAAACTCACCCTAAGTCCACGTAACCTAAATTTCCCATCCTCATCTGTGAGTGTGTCTTCCCCATAAATGGAACAATCGTTCTGTCCAACTGCTTCCACTGACACACCTTGCTCGGGTTCACCGTTAAGAGAAGACACTGTTCCATAACAACTGTAAGAAGACAAAAGGAACAGGAAGATACAGCACTGACTCATTGCTCCAGGGCACATGTTCTACAATTTGCACTTAATCGCTTCTAAGCTAAAACGTAAACAGGACCCTTCATATATTTTTATGATCTTTGAGTTCTTTACTTGTACTTTAATTCTACATTATCAGGGCTGCCCAACAGGTAGATCCCCAGATGTTGTAGAACTACAGCTCCCATGATGCTTTGCATGCCTTTAGAATGACAAAGCATCATGGGAGTTGTAGTTCTACATCTGGGGATCTACCTGTTCCCCAGATGTTGTAGAACTACAACTCCCATGATGCTTTGTCATTCTAAAGGCATGCAAAGCATCATGGGAGTTGTAGTTCTACAACACCTGGGGATCTACCTGTTGGGCAGGCCTGATTTAGAATGTTCCACATCCTTCCACTGCCATCACAGTTACATCATTCCATGCCCTATGTTTCTTGCTCTTCATTTTGCTCAATAATGCGGGTTTATAGACTGACCTGTAGGCTGTCCTGTAGCCGGTGATGGTAATCTTCAAGTTCTCTCCTTCTTGTGCTTCTATCATTTGGGAGGAGGGCTCAAAACGAAATTCTTTCATCATAGGCTTAAAATAGTACTGCCCCGGGCTCTGAGAATAGGGTACAGGACATTGAATGAAACACGTGAACATTACTTACAGATTCACTATTCAAAATGTTTTGAGGCCCAGTTTAAAAGAATATTAAGTGGTAAAGGAGTTGTTGCCAAAGGTCCAAGAATGCACCAGACAGAATCATTGGAAAAACATTTTTTAAATAAATAGAAAGCTAAAAACCATCATGGCTCTGTTTATGATGCCATATACACACATTCTGCATAGAATATAAAAGGTAGATTTGATACGAGCTTCTGATTCTTGTTTCACAGGAAAATGCACTTTAACCACAGGTTGCTCTTGAATGGGCAGTTTGGCCACAATCAACATATCAGTGCCCAAGTTTTGTACATATGATTAGCCTGAAGACCCATTCTTCAATAATTATAAAAATTCAATCTTCCATTGGAGTGTTAAAGAAGTCCCAGCTGTAGGACTTAGGGGATATTCTGCTTAGAGTCCCCTGGTATCCCACAACCTTGGTCTCACTGATAATTTTAAATTACAACTTGGACATTATCAGTGTCCAATTCGTCCAACCTGTAGGCTGGGTTAGCCAAACACTCTAAGCCAATCAATGCCAAGAAGAGGGTATTCCGTCAACATCAGGGAGAACTCTGGTCTATGTTGTCTGTAAACTGTTTGACATTAAATCAGGGATAATCCTCAAGCTCTACATGTAGCCTAACCACCAAGAGAGAGCTGTAGTGATTGTCTGGACTAGAATGCCCGTCTAAGAGTCAATCGTCTATATAATGCAACATAATGTGTTCAAACTTCTTGGATTTCTCTTTATGTTCTGAGACAGAAATTCCTTTTGCTAACAGGGAGAGTATCATTGTTCAGAAGTTAAAATCACAACATAGCTGGTTTAAAAAGCCAGTTCTTGATCTCAGTGTTCATACTGAGTGCAGGGTCATGTAACAACTGCTCCCGCTGCATAAAGAGTACTTAATGCTGAGTGACACAGGAGAAGATAGGGCTTCTAAACAACAATGGCAGAAACAGCATTTCATAGTAAAATGTAAACACTTAAAAATAAAGGTTTTCATTTTGTACGGATCATATCCTTTCAATGTGTTGAGTGCTAAGAAAGCAATTATGTAATTCAAGGCGTTCTGCTAAAAAAGTAAACATTTCAAGACACTTTATAAAGCTCCTTAGGAACAATGAGAAGAATGACGAGTCTGTGCTTTTACAGTAGGGAAAACGTACATGATGACAGATTACATATCAATTTGAGAACATTAAGCGGAGGAGAAGGAGAAGTATTGGTATCGGAGCTTCTACTGACAGGGAAAAAAACATGCATGATTCACTAACAATGCTATTACATCTAAGAGGATATTGATCTGACAGTAAGTGAATCATTTCAAAAGGACACAGTTAACATTACTCATTTATTTCAAATAAAATATTGGCTATTCTCTATATCACATATGTGTTCATATGGTGCAAAAAGCTAATTTTCAAGGCAGTACATGATGATTTGGGGGAAACGGCAAAGAAAGCAAAGTAATTATTTTACATAGACTTAAATTATATCAATGTGTTAATTTTCTGCCGAAGATTCTGGCACCCACATAATAGAATGTATTAAAAACACAGGGTAAAAAAAAAAATAGATCGGGAGAGATGAAAGGGAATGTGAAAATAGGGGAGAGAGGAAAACTAACAGAGAGGAAGTTAAATTAAGAGCAAGTGGGAGTTGAGGGGAGAAAGATTGAGAGATAGAGAAGGGGAGAGAAATGAGCAGTGAGACTGCAGAGGCATGATCTATACACCACAGCTGCCTAATTAAACTAAAGTTGTTTTGGTACCTACAGTGTCCCTTTAATATTCTAATTAGTCTTGTTTTGAACCAGCAGGGGTAAATTATCTAATGGTTGCATCTGAGGGAGTGTGTGATGATAGGTACGTATAGCTTATTCACTAGCAGGTTGGTATAGCTGTAGATAAAGTATCCGTTTAGATATGAAACGCGTCGTTTAGGCATGTGGTAACGTCTTATTTTTTCTTCATCTCCATAGGTCTAGTTGCTATATCTGTGAATGTTGTACCGTTGGTCGGCCATATATTTTTTATGTTGTGATATTTTTATTTTGGGATGACTAATCAGTTTATCATTACAAACCCTGCTATTTTGTTCCTCTTTGGAATGCTTAGACCTGGAATATTGATTATTTCTGCTTTGATGGGTTACTCCAAGATGTGCTCAAGAGGGGATTACTGAAGGTCTGCATTGTATTTTTCATTGATCTAATATTAATTTACCCAAAGAACCAAGTAAATTGCACACACAAAAAAAAAAAAACTAATTGTATTTGGAAAGCACAGACTTCTCACATTTTCTTTTGCAGAGCTCTGTTAATGGACAATTCCCATGGAGATCAACACCGCTAATGATCTCCCAGACGCAGAGTGGAGCTGCAATGAGGTCATTCGGCTGCTTGATTACAGGTAAGAACCCCCCAAAAATCTTAAAATAAAAAAAATTATAGAGTGTTCAATATATTATAAATAAATCTATTTTAACCCCTTAAGGACACATGACAAGTCATGATTCCCTTTTATTCCAGAAGTTTGGTCCTTAAGGGGTTAAGCAGCAAATATAGAATTTATCTAAAAAATAAATGATATATTTATTAGCTCTGGAAGTTGTTACTTGCCTACACTGTCAGGTCTGATGGTGTCATACTATTACTACAGCATCCACCTCTCTTACAACCTTACTGCTGGCCCACTCTGAGTTAATTGGCTCTGCATTGGAATATTTTACAAAGAAACGCAACTCTCCCTAATAAGGCTAAAATGCAGATCTCACTGCTGGCACATCAGCGTTCATTATCAAGCTTGGAATATATGGAGGATTGATTGACAAGTGCGGACAAACCAGAGTTTTAAAGAGCATTTCCACACAAAGTATAGATGAAATATAAAGGAACATTATAGTCACCCAGACCAATTCATCTCAATTAAATGGCCTGGGTGCAGTGTCCTTGTCCCCTTAACCCTGCAATGGCAATGTTAAAAGGACCCTCCACTGCCCAAATACAACATAAATAAAAATCACTTAAGTATATGTACACCAATTAAAGAAATGAATAATTAAATGCATGCAAGTTTTTAATTGGGGGTTTATGTAAAAACAGATTGTAAAAACTGCAGTTTTCTTGTCTAACTCTGCCCAAACTTTCAGTGGCTGTCCAATAACAGACTTCCCAATACAGCTCAATGAGAAGTCAGGTGCAAGTCAGGTACTCTGAGAAATTGCTGCCTCTTGAGTTAAGCTGCACTAAGCCAACCAAACAAGGAAGTAACAGAATCTGTTGTCTGAAAGCCAAGGGGGTAACCAGCCTAATTCCGATGGGAAAGTTTGAATGTGAAGGCATGCGCCGCACATGCGCATTAGGTCTCTCTATGAGAAGCACTGCATTTGTCCTCCCCAGGTCCTGTGAGGGCACCTGGGGAGGACAGGTGAGCAGCACTGTGAGAGCCTTGGCACTGGAAACATTTCAAGTCAAACAGGGGGTTGGGATGACCTAATACTACAAGGAAGAGGATATTATAATGTTGTGAATTCGTATTCCTAACATACAGTGTTCCTTTAATGCCCTTTAATATCAGTTGTGTGCACCATTACCAATACCATTAGAATTTTGCATGTGAGAAATGCACTATAAACTGAAGACTGACTGTAAATATCCCCTCACAAGCAATGTTTATTAAATCTATATATCTATATATTCTTGCATGTCTGCTGAAACAGTAAGATGGCTGCTGATTTTGCATATATATTTTTTTTAATAATACACCTTGAAATTGTAATTCGATTTAAGACCACCACTGATGTTTACCCAAGAAAATGAAATAGAGGTTATAAAATATACATTACCAGATTTGAAAACGTTAACATCCCATTATCCTGAGTAAGGAGGTTTGAACGAAAGATGCCCCCACTAAGAGACAAGAGAACTCCTGCAAGAGGTTGCCCATCTTCAGACCGGATCTATGAATGGTAAAATAGTGACAATTAGCTTTTGCAAATTAGTACAGAAAGGGAAGACAGGTAAATCGACATGATTCTGAATCATACCTCAAATGTAACTCCTGCAAGGGCAAATGCATTAAATTCTCCTACAGTTCCATCAACAGCAGTCAAAACGTAACCTTCTTTTTGAGCCGAAACAGTGTACTCCAAGTCACTATGTAATGGTCCAACACTATAAAAGAAGGAAAACAGAAATAGCGAAGCAGTAGAAATGTGTGAGCAACATGAGTAAAAACGTAAAAAATTTAAGACAAGGATTAAAACGTAACAGACAAAATGGAATGTAAGAATTTTTTAAGGGAAATTATTTACAGGTGCTACAAAACAGAACTACATGGAAAGAACAGTTGATAATGAACCCAAACAAATTCAACATTAATGTTTGTGGAACATTCATGGCTAGATTTAGTACCCCAGTTCTTAAGGACCATCTGTGCATAATGGAAAATGTAGTTTAAAAAAGTTGGAGAACCAATAGTTAGACATGACTGTATTGATAATACATGAAAACACATGTATAAAATCACCCCCCAAATATTTTTATGTTCCTATTACAACTTTCCATTGCAGATTACTGAAGGCAACAGTTCTTCTGCCATACATAGTTAAATAATTATATAGTCTGAAAAAATGAATTGCGTCCATCATGTGCAGACTTTCACACATCTGTTTCTGCGGTTGATCCAAAAAAAAAAAACACAAAACATTATGACCAGTATGTATTTATACCAACGGGGTTTCTATTAACCAATCATTGCACCCACCTATATGAACCTTTATCATCTGTGTAAACAGTTATAAGGGGTGATGCTGCTCCCTTTTCACTGATCACAATTTCAACACCTTCCAGCTCTGGGTGAATCTGTCCTTCAATGAACAAACCAGCCTTTCCATGAATATGGATCATCTTCCCAGGACAGCTTTCTAAATTGTGAAAATAAAATTTGTAGTCACAGGCAGCAATTAAAAATTGCGCACACACACACACACACATAAATCAAAGATAAACAACTGTACTGCTGAAGACTGGATTTAGATTTGCTTTTATTCTGCTGGTAGTTTACAGCAAATTCAAAATTTAGTTAATTGGGTTTTTAAAATAATTTTACCTCCACTAACAAAAGACTCCACGGACGGTGGGTAGAAAAGCAGTTCTTTGGATGATGGAGTTACTGTGATTTTTTCCCCAGGTCTACAAAGCAAGCACATAAAGTAATTATTAAAGACAAATGTCTACGCTACCATAACTGTACCAGGACTCATATCTGTGAAAGTTTCACATTCCTATCTGGACCCCACTAGCGACACTCTACCCGAAAGTAAGGAGCAAAGATAAAATTCACACTTTCTTGTCCCCATTAGGACTTAAGTTCTAAGTCAAGGAACATAGTGCAGAATGATTATATACGTACATGCACCTTGTAAGGTGCTCTAGAGATCAGGGTTTGGTCCAAGGAACTAGGACCGTCTTGAAGGGACACTATAGTCACCAGAACGAGTATAATCATTATATGCAGGCATTTTCATGCAAACACGACCTCGTCTATATGAGGAGATGCTGACTGGTCAAAACGGCGTTGGCCCCACTCCCATGCCAAATTTAGCCAATCCAATTATGTCACCAAGAAGGTGAAACAGGGGCGGGGCCAGCACCGGCAGACCCTCACGGCTCTTGGAATAAGATATGTTTCAATTTCTTTTAAGCATGTATGTACGTGCTGACATAGGGGAAGACGCGGTGGGGCATAGAGGGAGGAGATGCAGTGCAGGGCTTAGCACACTGGCTCAGATAGACTTTCTTTGAGTTATACAATTCTGTTTTTTGTGCCTTTGATTTATGTTGTTTCAAGATCATTCCTCTACATACTGGTGGAGTATGTTTTTTTTTTCTACTTACAACACAATTATCTTAAATAGAGTAATACCTAAAATGTAATAATGTAAATTAAACTTGTAAAATAAAGTTTATCAGAAACAATTGCGTTTGCTTGGGGTATTATGTAGCAGAACTCACCTAGCCCAGTAGGAGAATTCATAAGAAAAAGGCCCCTGCAGTTCTTCCACCACTTCATGGACAGGTGGTTGCACATCAGCCTCTTCAGAACCAGCCTTTTCCCTCTCTTGTCTGCGTGCTTCAATTTCTGCCATCTGTTGCTCCCTGCGTAATTCTTCTACAGACTTTAATGGTCCTAAAACAAGTGCTGGCTCACTCTCTATGGAAGATCTAGAAAAGAAAAGGGAGGGGTTAAAAGAGAATACTTTTAAAAACAGTGTAAGGAAGTCCTCCTTATATACTACTTGCACTACAAGTAACGGTGTCTAGAAGTGTAGCAATTTAGACAGTATCACAATCAGCCAGTTAAACACATTCTGATGTACTTATAGTAGGGAACATTCTATAATAAGGGAACATTCTATAATAACACAAAGTGAGCTCAACAATTTGGACTAATCACTATCCCAATCTTCAGATTTTACCCATTCTCTGCGAGTGTCTCTCACATATGGATTTTAGTACATTAAACTTAAGATGAAAAATTCCTTTACCAGTGTAAGAAAATCGAGCAGAAAGCTATGCTTCTCAATATGCAAAACACAGGCTGGCCTAATGTTCTGCTCCTGAAAAAAAATATTTCTATATTGTTAAACTTCAGTGTTTTGTTTTTTCTCAGGTTAAACACTTTTTAAAGTTAAGTAGCAATGTCACAGGCTTGTCAAACATGTCTGAAATATATGGAAAAGCGATTTAAGTAATCAACGTAAACTACCCAGGCATGTTAATGGTTATGAGAAAAGGGGTTGTAAAACATGCGTGTAAAACAGGAGTATGAGAAAATGATAGTTTAAAAAAAAAAAAAAAAAGTGAGACATACACAATGCAGATTAAGCGAAACAATAGGTTCGGAGTTATGCAGGCTATATGCACGGTGAGTGAACAGTATAATGTGCTTCGCAGATAACATATGCCATTTCTTACAATATGATGTCGCACACGTGGGACCGTATAATCAAGCAAGGGTTAGTAGGCGAGAGGAGAGAAAAGGGACAGTAAGTCATAAAACAGTTTAATCACTAATGCAGAATCAGGGTCATAAGGCGTAATATCAGATTAGTCACATTATGCCATCATATTGCAAGTGTCCCCATTCACACGATACCAGAGGTCGGCAGGCTGTCAGCGTAGGTCGGGGAGTAATCAGAGGCATTCCATGCAATGGCATTCTCCTGTGTCATTGCTGCAGAATACCGGCTGCATTCAGTCTGAGGAGCGGGCCTCCCGGCTCGACCATGTGCACGCCATTGGCCTTGCTGAGCGGAATCCCCCCCAAGTGCGCCGGCTTGGCTCAGGTGCTTATGGCTAGACATGGGAGATCTCTGTTAGTGCCGAGGCCCAAGCAGGCGGTGGCTGATGATGGGTCTGCGTTTCGTGAGTCGAGATGTCCTCCTCATCGCGGTCAGAGGCTTGGCGGTGCGATTTGGTATAAGTTGTGAGTTAAGTGGGTCATGGTGCCGTTAAGGGATGTCTGGGACAGCTTGGTTCTGTGTCAGTTTGGCCCACAGTTGTGCTTAGAAGAGGGCTAAGGCTTTAGCCATGTGGTCTTCGTGGGGGGTCCCACAGTCAGGACTCCATGCAGCCGCCATCTTAGCTTGGAGCATGTGGCCCTGTAGATCCTGTTGATTGGCACCTTTAGGCGTTTTACCCCTGGTCGTCCACCGGTGAGCACCCAGTGGGGACCGGAATAACCCCAACGGGTCCAAAGGGGGGGTAGTAGTCCAACTGAGTCGCTTGGTTACTTCAGTGTCAGGAAGAGTGGCCGATTCGCCCCAGCTCCAACACTAGTAGGCAGCAGCGTTCCAGTCACGCGCCATGATCTTCTACACATAGCATGGCATTCAATTTACTTAAATACATTCAATTTAAGCAATGTGTAAACTTAATTCTCCAGAGTCTTCTCATATAATGGTGTAATAGGTGTTTGGACACGTTGACCTACCTCTTGTCTTGATTTAGCTTTTCAAAAATGATCTGCACATAGTTATAAGCCCATGTCAACAAGATGGCATAGCAAAGTTACTGCTGCAATACATCAAAAGCTAAATAAGGATGTTAGTACCACTATAAGAAGATCTGACCCATTTACAATGAATAAACAAAAGATGAGAGATACAACACAAGATGATCTAAGTAAAGAATTTACATTAACAAGGGTGTTAGGCTTGCATACAACTGATGTATGGAAAAGTGACAGTTCTGCTTTAAAAGGCTTGACAAAAATTGGACTCACAATATTCATTAAGAAATTAGCAGATGTTAGGAGTCCCCTAAGTGTACATAGCAAGTACATTATTAAAAAGGTTGGTAATGTGCATAAGCATATTTTTAATTATGGATCAATGAATTTGTTCAAGAAGTACAAATTTAATTTGTCAGACTACAACTGCACTTACTTAATAGTGACAGTCACATCCATTAGCTTATCAGCGGTAATAGCCCCGAGGACATGATGTCTCACTGCTGTCAGAGTTAGAATGCTTGGCGAAGACCTAGTAATTAGAACAGAGAAAAAAATGGAAAAAACGACTGATAAATGAACTAAAATTTCTACAAACTTTGTTAGTGAAATGTTTCTTAAAATTAACAATAGAAACTGTAAAATCACTTGAAATATATAAAAGAAACTTGAGTGCTACATGTACACCGACTCAAAAGCTTAAAGCGGGGGTGGGGAACCTTCAGATGTTTTGGACTACATTATTATTGCCATTTATATAGCGCCAACAGATTCCGTTACGCTTTACAATATTTACAATGCTTTGCCAGCATTATCCGAAGGTTCCCCACCCCTGGCTTACAGGAACACTATAGTGTCAGGAATACAAATATTTATTCATGCCATTATAGTGGTAAAATTCCCTATTTCGGTAACACTCTCTTTACTTTAAAAAAGGTGTTTAATCTCACTTTTTTTTTTTTTTCCAGCGCCGTGTTAGTCTTGCTTCGACTGGCCTTATGCTGCTCTGCCTCCGAAGCGGAGATCATCAAATCTGACGATCTCAGCAAATCTAATGCTTTCCCATAGAAAAGCATTGGGAGGCATGTCAAAACACTGTGCCAGCCTGCATCTCCTCATAGAGATGCATTGAATCAATGCATCTTTATGGGGAGCGTTCACTGTCTGCATGCAGAGGGTGGAGACACTGTGCATCACTGACCTGGGAAACACAACTAGTGGATGTCTGAGTGACTCCTACTAGAGGTGTTACTAGGCGGTAATGTAGACACTGCCTATCTCTGAAAAGGCAATGTTTACCTTAAAAAGCCTGCAGAGACATGCAAGACACCATAACAACTACAGAGTTGTTCTGGTGACTATATCGTCCCTTTAAAGTAAGTCAAAGCATGGATAACTGTGACATAGCCATGGCCGCTGACTCTAATTTCACATTTCCAACGTGAAAGCAAATTGAGCAGCATGAAGAAATTGGAGGGACTGTTAAAGCAAGGGTTACATCAACTAAAAAAAAAAAAAAAAAAAATGTGTTTCAAACATCGATTTTGGTTGGAGCAACCTTTTAATACAAAGAATAGTAAATTTACTTTTTAATGTATATTACACTAATTTACTTACGTATCATAAGTGTAAAAAGCATGTTCGAACCGATGACAGGATCGTGGAGTAACTTTATAAACCCCTGAAAGATATAAACAAAATGCAAAAGTTATTCAGAGAGCATGATAAAAAGTACCACTTATTGTTTAGCATTAACTTTTAAATGTGCACTTCCAGAGAACCCAGAACAATTACCTGGCTTTGAAAGGCAGAACCTATTGATTCCCTTTGTTAAATTATAAACACCAACATGTTCTGGTCCATTACCATCCTGATAAAACTCCTGTAGAATCAAAGCAAAAATGTTAAGACTGGTAGAGTATGACAGCTTTCTTTCTGCCACTTAAAATTGTTACTAGCGGACCTGAACAATATGTTTTGGATAATGTTTTTGAATGGAAATATTTTAACATATATGTGTTCTAAAGCATCATTAAAACAATCAGTATTTGTTAGACTTGTTCAAAAATTTGTTTCAGTTGCTTTGTTAAATTACATTTTATTTATATCCACGCCTGAACAAATCAATTCACCTGGGATTTACCGATTGTGTCTTATTCAATGACCAATGCTCCACAGATAAATCATGGACAGATTGATGTGTTCAGGTATAGAATAAAAGGAATTTGATTTGCACAAACTGGACAAAAATGTTTGCACAAATCTAGTATTTATAGTATTATCGAGTTAGTCACTAAAGTGAGATATCATATTTAAGGGACCGCAGCAGGCCGAGACAAACAGGGTGACAAGGAGGCGATTACAGAACTGCCAACCCGGCTTCTCACAATAATAATCCACTGTGCACAATTGAGTAGATCATGCTCACGAGGCTCATGTCGTGCCCATAAAAAGTTAAACTGTAATTATGGGTGTGTTTCAATCGTAACAGTATGGTATGTTTTATCAATTTCAGGTTTGCTATTGTGGTTAATGTTCCCATCTGACTTAAAGATTTGAATACAGACTTTAATAGCACTCACCAGTGTGATTGCATGAGAAAGGGAGCATCTTAACATGTAACCCGTCTGCCTCAATTCTATACCAACAATGTCTTCTTCTGCAACTTCAAATTCCAAGGATTTGTTTTTCCAGCACCAGTCTTCCTGAATTATGGTCACTAAAAACATAAAAAAAAAATAAAAAAAGAATTTGCATACATACACACACACCTTTTATCTAGCAAAATGTTCACTAACCACTAGACATTTTGAGTGAAACTGTAACCCTGCAGAATACAAATTTGCCCCTAGTGTATATATGCTATGACTTGCAATAGGGAATAACATTTGAGGATTCGCTAGTAGCATAGGATGTCAAGTTTTAAGGTTTGGAGGATGTGGTGGGGAGTTTGTGTGTGTGTGTCTGGAAAGTATCCAGCCATGTAATATAAAAATAGAGACATTTACAGGAAATAAATATTTTTTAAAAAGGCGATAGAAGATACAAGAAACATTGTGCATAGGACGCCTCAGTGCCCTTCAAAGTAGGCACCTTGCGAACTCACACAGTTCTCCCAACGTCACACGCACGCACACACTACTCCCTCAGTAATTCATAGAGCATTTTATAGTGCCCCCTCCTCTCCATTTGTTATAAAGGATATTCTATGTTCAGAGTGAGTCTCACCTTTATATTTTCCAGGTAAAATGTCTTCAAAAGTAAATGCCACAGTTTCAGTCTTGCTGGAAACCTGTAAGCTGTGCTTCTCCCTCTGGCGGCTTGTAGACTGTAAAGTTACAGTCAGATCACCACATGTATCTAAAATATAAACCAATATTGCAGAAATAAGACAGCACTCCAACATCAAGACATGGAATATGAATAGGTTTGCCAGTTATCTTACCCTCTCTCATATACATGGTTACAGTTCTGGAGGATGTGCAATTGGAATTACACATGACCTGATGTATATACTACCGGATATGTGAAACATTGCTGAAATGGTGTTATAGAGTGCGTGTGGATGGTTGCCACTAGAACGGATTTTCTAGATTGATGGTGTGACTACTGTGATCAGTTGCAACATTAAAGGGACACTCCAAGCAGTATATCCACCATAGCTTATAGTAATGATTATGATGCTAAAATAATGGCTAAAAGGGTTAAATGGCATAGCACACACTGCTTCTTACATACCTAAGCATGTTACCTTCCCAGACACAGATGCCATGAACTGTGAAAATGATACATCCATAACTGGCTTGTCTGTTACAGTCACCGGGAATGTGGACGGTTTTAGGGCAAGGCCTGCTTTGGCTTCAGCTTCCGGAACAGTAACCTAGAAAATTGGTGGTGGATACAATTTTAGACTAATACAAGAGTTTTTCCTTGGCAAACAAGTCTGTCCTCCGATGACATAGGTATGACACACTTAGAAAGAAAAAAATGTGTATCTATACGGACAATGATGACACTGTTTAGAGGTAACGGGACACTGCACGTATTATGGACATTAGCAAACATTGCTAAAATGCACATCTATCCTGAGAGAGTAGGAATTATTACCTGGACATTGTAGGATCCCCTTCTAGCCTGGAAGCAGAACAGTCCACGGGAGTCTGATTCGGTTGTAAGAAATGAGGTCCTCTCCTTGTCTTGAGGTGTTAGAGTAACTTTATATTTATTAAATTGTTTAATATTTTCTGGAAAGTTTGTAATGGAAATTTCTCCACAAACACTAAATCTGTAAGGAAAAATGCAAGAGGAAGAAATATATATTTGCAGTTGGTATCAAATGCCAAAGGCATAATGCTGATTTATATTTACATATATAGAACAAAAAAAAAAAAAAATATGTCTTTCATAAATATGTTGCTGTTTTCATTGAACCAGACTCTGAGCAAACTCATATCAAAATCAACTCTTTAGTCCGACTGCACTTTTATCAAGTCTTCTCATTTCAGCCAAAGCGTTAGGGTGCTTTGCCTTCTGTCGCCTACTTACATAGGTATGTTATACTGTAGATATACACCTGTATTTTTAGCCCGGTTTGTTTTTTTTACTTACTATTTAATGCATTATATCAAAGAACAGTCTGGATACTATTTACATGATCGTAATATCTGTTCTCTTTATACTAAGCTAGATTCCATAATATTTTTATAAAAGGAACACTATAGTGCCAGGAAAACAAACTTTTTTTCCTGGCATTATAGGGTTATTAGTGTCCTCCCTCCCTCTGGGCTGAAGGAGTTAAAAACCCCTTCAGCCACTTACCTTGATCCAACACCGGGCTCCGAGCAACCTCTCCTCCTTCTGCCAACATCAACACCGAATGTGCATACGTTGCCAGAGCCGTGCGCGCATTCAAACCACCAACAAGAAAGCATTACTCAATGCTTTCCTATGGATGTCCAACGTGATTACAATACGATTTTCTCATTGAGGATCACGGAAGTGCCTCTAGTGGCTGAAACGGCTATAATTGTAGCTGCAGTGTTAAAGCTAGGGGGACCTGGCACCCAGACCACTTCATTGAGCTGAAGTGGTCTGGGTGCCCTATAGTGTTCTCTTAAAGTTATTGTGTGCATTAATATGATTTGTTAGATATTTGTACTTGCCAGTTTAAAGAACTGGTTTTCTTACTGCACATTTTACATTTTGATCAGAAGGCTACATTGAAATGTTCTTGTATCCCTAAATACCAATTTATATGTGGATCTAATTAAGGCAGGCACTGCTTCATACATTTGGTGCTCTCCTTAATAAGCTCGGTATGGCACACAGGACTAGCCGGGGAGTGCAGAGAGAGCCAGATCGATGGCAGGAACCTTGTGTAACAGCGGTGCCTGCTGCCATTAGTGGGGTTCAAAACAGAGCATTGCCGGCGGATTCTCCACTGCCAGCTGGCTTCCTCCAACCCCTGTAATATAGTCAGGCACTGCTCCCCTGACATTCAGGAACATACAGCTCCCTCCTGTAATTCAGACAGGCACCGGACAGACAGTGGTGCCTGCTTTATGGCTCCCAACTCCACCAACCTGATTTACAGGCAGGATCCGCACAGACAGCAATGCCTGCCACTTGGACCCAGCTCCCCCTGCACATTAATGTAAGGCAGGACCCAGTGTTTGAATCAGTGCCTGCCTTACTTCAGTTTTAGAAGCCCCCCCCAAATACTAAGCCCAGTACCCCAGGCACATAGTGACAAGCACCACTACAACAGCAGGTGACTGCCTCTAAATTAGCCTGGCAATTAAGCAGGCTGCTCATTTATTTTATTTAATGTTTTATTTTCCTGAGTAAAATATTGTATAACTCAAAATCTCAACTAATTTTTTTTCTTCGACAAAAACATTCTATATAGCATTTTTATTTAAAATCATTTTGAAAAGTAATCCTTTGGCGGCATCTTGTGGCTAAATTTTTTATTACAATTATAATTTGTATTTAGCCTCAAAATGGCCAATGCATTTAACTCATTGATAGGAATAGGTCTATATGACTTACTCCATATTCCTAGTCATGATTAAAAATCATTAGTGGCAGAGTCAAAACTATGTGTCCTGTCTAGAACCATACCATATTGTAATGTTACCAGATGTTACTGAACAGCAATAATGCTAACTGAAATACAGCATGAACAAGATTTACTTCCACTCACCTCGCCGCTATGATATCAGCAAGTTGTGGAGTATTTGGGGCAATCTTTACTGTGAGTGTATCAAAGTAAACATGTTCCTTCTGGGCATCGATATTGTAAGTACCAGCAGTCATGTTTTCCAAACGAAAAGATCCATTTGCATTAGTTGTAACTAGAAAACATATAATACAGCTCCATAATTAAAGCAAAAACTTGTAACACTAATATTTTTATTTATTTTTTAGCAATGTTGAAATCAATGATTGTTTTGCATGCAGGACAAATGCAATGAAACTAAAACCCAGTTAGTATAAACTTGATTGTGTAGTCGCTTTTTTGGTTTCCATTTTCCACCCAATGACATTCTGCCGATCATGCAATGTTCTAAATTGCATTTTCATACTAACTTTGATTCTGTTGTAATTTTCATTATACTTTGCAGAAACTGCTGTGCCGCTTCTTTTTGGTCATTGTATATGTAAATTTTATGCTTTTGGGAAAACATTTTTGGTTGCCAGCAACCATAGCATTTGTATTTGTTTCTGATTTGGGTGAGCAACTTTAACAGGGAATATAAAATCTATAGCTGCTCTAACACACACACGCTGGCTGGGGTCAGTAATGAATCAACCTTGTTATAGTACTTTCTTCTGTATGCCAAAGGAAAAATTTTGTCGCAAGAGACAGTTTGATTTCTGAAGAGGTGAAAGAAATAAGACTCTATAGCCACCAAGAATCAGAACGAAGCATAAACATAGATATTATGAGTTGTTAGATGATTATTATTATTATTATTGCCATTTATATAGTGCCAACAGATTCCATAGCGCTTTACAATATTATAAGAGCTATAAATAGGACAATTACAAGAAAACTTACAGGAACGATAGGTTGAAGAGGACCCTGCTCAAGCGAGCTTACAGTCTATAGGAGATGGGGTGTAAAACACACTAGGACAGGTAATAGCAATCAAAATAGGTTGGAGTGAAGCAGAGCTGAAGGAGAGAGTAGAGTGCTGCCCTTCAGGAGAGAGCAAGAGACAGGTATGTGAGGTTACTCTGGGAGACCAGAAGCTTTCCTAAAGAAATGGGTTTTAAGGCACTTCTTAAACGATTGAAGACTAGGGGAAAGTCTGATGGCGGTAGGCAGGCTGTTCCATAAGAAGGGAGCCACCTGCAAGTAGTCGTGCAAGCATGAGTTGACTGTATGGGTGTGAGTAGTGGACAGGAGGTGGTCACAGGCAAAGCAGGGAGACCAAGAAGGGGCAAACCAATGGATCTGTTATGAGATAAAAGGGGCTAGAATTGGTCAATGCTTTATAGGTATGGGTTATCATTTTGAATTGACTCCTATAGGATACAGGAAGCCAATGTAAGGACTAACAAAAGGGTGAGGTGCGAGAGGACCGACTAGAGAGGAAAATCAGTCTGGCGGCAGCATTCATAACAGACTGTAGTGGGGCAATACGGTTTTTGGGAAGACCAATTAGGAGAAGGTTACAATAATCCATGCGGGAAATTACTAGAGCATGGACAAGCTCTTTGGTACCATCTTGAGAAAGGGGCGAATGCGGGCTATGTTTTTAAGATTGAATCAACAGGATTTGGTAACATGCTCAAAGGTGAGGTTAGAATCAAACATGACACCAAGACAGCGCACTTGCAAGGATGAACTGATGTGGATACCACTGACTTGAAGGGAGAGCGAAAGAAGAGGGTCAGTATTAGGAGAAGGAAAGACAAGGAGTTCAGTTTTAGAGAGATTTAGTTTTAAAAAGCGGGAGGATATCCAGTCAGAGATGGAGAAAAGGAAGGGGAGAGGTCTGGGGAGGAGAGATATAGTTGGGTGTCATAAGCGTACAGGTGGTAGTGGAATCCAAATGAGGCAATAAGTTTGCCAAGAGAGGCAGTATAAAGAGAAAATAGAAGGGGACCAAGGACAGAGCCTTGGGGGACTCCAACAAAGACAGGATGAAAGAAGGAGGTATCATTTGAAAAAGACACTGAATGAGCGTTGGGAAAACCAAGAGAGGACAGTGTCACAGAGACCGATTGATTGAAGAGTTTGAAGAAGGAGAGCATGATCAACTGTGTCAAAGGCAGCAGAGAGGTCAAGAAGTATTAGTATGGAGTAATGTCCTTTGGATTTAGCTGCGATTAGGTCATTAGTAACTTTGATAAGAGCAGTCTCAGTAGAGTGGAGGGGGCAGAAGCCAGATTCAAGAGGGTCAAGGAGGGAGTTGGGATTGAGTAAGTGAGATGATATGAGTAAAGACAAGTCTTTCCAGAAGCTTTGAGGAAAAAGGGTGCAGGGATATGGGACGATAGTTAGAGGAGGTGGATGGGTCAAGGGATGTTTTTTTTCCAAGATAGGTACTACAATAGCATGTTTAAGGTTAGTAGGGACAATGCCAGAAGAGAGAGAGCAGTTGAAGATGTGTGTTAAAGGACCACTATAGTGCCAGGAAAACATACTCGTTTTCCTGGCACTATAGTGCCCTGAGGGTGCCCCCACCCTCAGGGTCCCCCTCCCACCCCGATCTGGAAGGGGGAAAGGGGTTAAAAAAAAAAAACTTACATTTTCCAGCGCTGGGCGGGGAGCTCTCCTCCTCCGATCCTCCTCGTCGGCTGAATGCGCACGCGTGGCAAGAGCTGCGCGCGCATTCAGCCGGTCACATAGGAAAGCATTCATAATGCTTTCCTATGGACGCTGGCGTGCTCTCACTGTGAAAATCACAGTGAGAAGCACGCAAGCGCCTCTAGCGGCTGTCAATGAGACAGCCGCTAGAGGAAATAGGGGAAGGCTTAACCCATTCATAAACATAGCAGTTTCTCTGAAACTGCTATGTTTATGAAAAAATGGGTTAACCCTAGCTGGACCTGGCACCCAGACCACTTCATTAAGCTGAAGTGGTCTGTGTGCCTAGAGTGGTCCTTTAAGGAAGGCACAAGACTAGGGGAGAGAGATCTGATAAGGTGAGATGGGACAGGATCAAGCAGGCAAGTGGTGGGGCGAGAGGAAAGGAGAAGCGTAGCCACCTCTTGTTCAGTAGTTCATGATGCAAAGGTCTCTTTATCAAAGTACAATCCTAGTATCAAGCTCATTCAAATCCTACGCTACTGGACAGGCCTAAAAGTTACTCATTACTAGAAGCCTGAAGGCTCCATAATCAGGAAATAATTTCTACTTGCCATTGGCTAGTGGAAATTTTAAGTCCTGCTAGTATAATATGTTTTGTATGAAATACACTAAAACGCATGGCTATGCAGTGTAAAGCTAGCAAGTTAGAGAAAATGACTATATGTGACTCACCTTTCATTTGATTGTTAAGCGTGACAACAGCATCAGCAACACCTTCACCTTCAGGTCCATTCAAAACCCTTCCAGTCACAGAGAACCCCATCACATGGAAGACAGGCTGGTAAAAACCGCTATATCGTAAGTACATACAATGGTGGCACCTTCATAATTCACTCACATTCTTAAGTGCAAAAATAGAGCAATGCACCACTTAACAACTTACACATGTGTGTATATTTCCCCCCTCCCCACTTTTTGGTGATAAGATGCTTGAGTGTGCAAAGTGAGTGAGTGAGTGTCAGCAGAAAACCTAACTTTTCAGTCTCCAGTAATATCATGAACAGATTCTAAAATTAAGTTACAACAAACAAATCAAATATTTTTAAGACACTAGATTTATTCTGAAAATTTAAAGGCACACTCTAATCACCATAACCACTACAGCACAATGTAGAGGTACTGGTGCTACAAGTCTGTGTGTAAAGTCCCCTTTTTCCATCAAATCACTTGTGAATGCTTAGTCAAAACCATGGACTATCTACAGCACCCATAACCTGGCCTCAACTTCTCAGTAAGGAAGATATTTACTTCTACATTATCTGTCCAACTTTGGACTGAAACCATTACTATAAGAGCTGGGAAAAAGTTTGCCCTTTGCTTGCAACCGATCAAGGTTTGACAAATACCGTGGGAGTGGATCATGAACAGTATTAAATTGGCTACAAAGGGGCCAGGCTTCTGGTGTTGAGGGTCCTTGTAATAGTTATAGTGCATAGAGTGAACCTTAACCAGGAATATTAGTCATTTCACTATTAACCTTTGGTGAACAGATTTTCTCTTAAAGTGCTATTTTTAAGGTTACACTAGGCGATGGAATTAGTGCATTATACAGTGTATTACCATCTAGTTACTCAAGGTTTCTAGATAATAATGAAAAGAAGAGAAAAACAAATGTGATTTAATAATAATAATAATATATTGGATTAAAGCATTTAGTGACACACATTTTGTGTTGAAAACAGCCACACCTAATCTTCAGAATCAGTGTGAAATAGTCACAGCTTTGTTAAAGTAATTTTAATACCATAATTTGTATTGTGTGTATGATGTGACATAAGCTTGTCAAAGCCATGAAAGCGTCGAAATGTGGCTGAATAAATGTGTTGCTCTGCTTTCATTATTCATTTGTTTAAAATGTTAAGTTAAACACCATGTTTTTGCTGATCGGTATTGTACCTCTAATCGGAGGCTGTCATGTTCCACACGGAAGTCCAATCGGGATGGAGCAACATCAAATGTAATTCTTTCACCCCTATAAAATGGAATCTGCAAAACACAACGCAAGCTTAGAATAGTGATGCAAATCTATTTTTTGTATAAATTACATTTTTTTCCAATTGGAAGGAAATGTTTAATAAAGTTGTCAATAGTGATATTTGGGTAACAAATACTAAAAACTATTCTGTCACTGGACTTTGTCTATTAACCTACTTAATGGGAACATATCCCCCCAAAAAACTAAAAAAGACTACATAGCATAATTTGATGAGCTATAATGTACAGGTATGATAGAAATACAAATTTACATTGCAAGTTGTTGTTTGTTTTTAAATCGAACTTTTATGAAAATAAAGACAATAAAAATACAAGAAGGAAATTGAAAATACTTGAACCATTTCACATCAATAAAGTGTTTATGATGCCGGAGAATCCCAGTGCCTTATCTTCAAAATGTAAATGGTTTTGAATCATTTTTGAATAGTTTAACACTAAAGTTAAGTAACCCAAGCACTGGTCCAGTTTCCTTTTTGGAACAGCTCTACAGGCTGTAGATATTTGAAGCATTACTCGCTATGAGCATAGTTAAATGCTAAACGAGAAGGTTAAAATGCTAAGCCTATCAATGCTGTTTGAGCAAAAGCTTCCATGTTTGCCAAGCAGTTACAGACAGTACATCAGACCAAAGTCAGGAGGACTCAATTTCAGTGTTAAACCATTTAAAATGGTTTAGCACTTCAAAGTAAGACGATGTCAGAAAACTCCAGGCACCACAATCACTTCTCTGGCATGAAGTGGTTATGGTGTCCACAGTGTTCCTTTAAAGGACCACTATAGTGCCAGGAAAACATACTCGTCCCGCCGGGCTCTGGTGCTAAGATGCTAACTTACCTCTTTCTCCAGTGCCGGGCGGAGAGCTCGCCTCCTCCTCTCCTCCCATCACCGGCTGAATGCGCATGCGCGGCAAGAGCCGCACGCATTCAGCCAGTCCATTGGAAAGCATTCACAATGCTTTCCTATGGACGCTAGCGTCTTCTCAAGCGCGGAAGCCCTCTAGTGGCTGTCAATGAGACAGCCACTAGAGGCTTGATTAACCCTATTATAAACATAGCAGTTTCTCTGAAACCCGGTTTATAAAAAAAAAGGGATAAACTGAGCTGGACCTGGCACCCAGACCACTTCATTAAGCTGAAGTGGTCTGGGTGCCTATAGTGGTCCTTTAAAGTTTTTGCTCTTAAAAGAACAGATAAATATGTCATAGATACTGGGAGCTCCCTCCAATACAACTGATTGACACTCACGTGATCTCACATTACAATTGTTATACACATATGAAATAGTTGATGCCCAAAATATGCCCATCAGTCGTGCCTAATATTATTTAAAGAGCTTGAAATTATATTTATACATTGCAAAAGTGGTTTTGCTAGGAAATGTATAAATTGAGAGAAAAACCTATTTAAAAATATTGTTTTCTCCCATCTGTCAATCAATTCTTCGGCATAAACAGTTGAGGAATTGATTGATAAAGGAAAGCAAAAGAGAGAATCCACAAGCGATCCTTGCACTCCATGCACAGCGCAATAAAATATACACACACTCTCTAAGCACAAGAACCATTGCAGCTTAATGTAGGGACTATGGTGCAAAGAACTGTCCTTGCAGTATTTTATTTGTGAATACTGCCCTTTCTGTGGCAGTGTTTACATTTGTCCCAATGGACACCTCTAATGGCCATCATTCCGGCAGTAACTAGAGGTGCTTCTTATTATGGTCCTGCAGTGTTTGCAGGACCGATGTCTTGCATCTTTACATTCAGCATGAAGATGCTCCCTATATAGATGCTTTGGTATAATTCATCCATATGAGGAAGTGCTGACTGGCGATTGCCGCACATGTGTACCAGTCTGCTGGTGCTGGCTCTGACCCTGAACTGCCTCCTTGGTTGACATTATCAGAAGTGATTATCAGAGCCAATCACAATGCTTTCCCATAGGAAAGCGTTGGATTGGCTGAGACTGACAAAGAGGCAGATCAAGGGCAAAGTCATCACAAGTCAAACACAGCCCTGGCCAATCAGCATCTCCTCATAGAGATGCATTGAATCAATTCATTTTTATGAAGAAAGTTCAGTGTCTGTATGCAGAAGGTGGATACATTGAATGGCAGTGCTGCTGACTGTGCATCACTGTCCCAAAACGAACCTCTAGTAGCCATCTGAGGAGTATCCAGTGGAGGTTTCCCTAGGCTGTAATGTACACACTTACTTTTCTCTGAAAAACAGTGTTTACTGCAAAAAGCCTGAATGGTATGATTCTACTCACCAGAACAAATACAACAAGTTGAAGTTGTTCTGGTGACTTTGTTTCCCTTTAACTAAAATGAAGAGACATCCAATTCTGAAAAATAAATGCTCACAAGGAGCTACTTAATTATAAAGTACTTCTGTTCTGAAGTGTAAAATACAGATTATTGTGATCAATCCAACACCTTGTTGGTGGCTTTAACCAAGAAAGCTTCCTTTGGTTAGCTCAAGATAAGAGAAGATTAGCAGGCCTATCTGAGCTGAAAAGCAGATGGTTCATTAGAAAATGTGCTGAGACAAGCACTCTGTAAAGTAGAAGATAGACAGGAATATGTGTAGAGGATAGTTCTTTTCTCATACCACACTGTAATCCCCGCTGGGTAAGGAGGAGAATGTAAACACTCCATCTTCTCGGGATGTGACATAACACAAGTACGACAGGGATTCATCTTTTCCTTGAAAGCCGTCAACAGGAGCTAAATCACAGCCCAATATATCCTACAGTAATGAAAGCAGAATAGATATTTTAGAACCACACAAGACACAAATCATGTTTGAAAAATGTGTCAACTTACATAAGCAGAAAAATCCCAAGAATAACAATTTGCAGACAATTCGTTGGAAATGAAAAAGGGATGGCAGCTAGGATGTCGTTAGTCAACAGTACACATCACGTTAAACAACTGTACATCTTCATAAACAATAAGCTCAATAAAACAGAAATGCAATGATAGTTAGGCTCTAATAAAATTCTAGGCTAACTGTGCATACAGCAGAAATGTTGGTGCTCTATTCTAAGTGTCACTGCAACGTATTGTAAAATATGTGGCATTTACAATATAAAAGAATTCCTCTATATTGGAGCAGCAAAATAGAAGAAAAAAAAAAAAAAAGAAAAGGTACAAGAATGCCGGTACACCTCAGTGCTAATAGAGTTTAATGAAGGACATACAAAAGCACAAATATTTTGGGTAGATTTTTGTTCAGTTACTGTAGTATCCCAACCTCAGCCTCCTTTTATAGCTTGGTTGCCCCAATGAAGAGGGGAGCTGTTATTTGAAGAATAATCTTGTGTCACCTATTCTACATTTTAATGACTGCTTCACTCTGGCAAGCAGGAAACCATTTTACTCCTTATGTGCGTCACTAAAGCACATCTGTTAGCATTTCAACTGATCTTATGAAAACCAAGTGCAGGCATTCACATTTTTTGTGCAGCACCTAGCCTGCTTACCAAATATAACTGATTGTATTGTACATTAAAAGGAAAAGTAAGATATTCGGAAATCAAAACGAATGGATCTTAATACATGATTTCCTTTAAAAAAAATAAATAAATACAAATCAAAGTGTCTCATTGATACGTCTGAAATGTATGTCTGGCATTGTAGTATATCGCATGCATAGAAAACCTGCCTGGCATTTTAAGTTAGATTTGAGAGCATTCAATTAGAGAAACCCATAACAATTTTTCCTCTGTAATGACACAAGATTAACTCACTCAAGGTGCTTCTGATCAGGAAACACTATAAGCTTTGTTCACTCACATATGGCTGTATACTTTGATTTGTGCCTTCTGTATTACACCAATGATTTCATAGGATCCTCCACTCCCCCAATGGCAATCAACACAGGAACACAAGATATGCATTAAAATAAGTCCTAATGATAGCAAGGCATGTAAACTTTGAGCATTTGCTAACGTTATAGATCAGTACCTCTTTGTTGATGGATGAGGAAAAGAGCAAAAACATAACGCCTTTCATTGGTTCACCATCGCTGCGAACAGAACCCAATACATCATAACCGGCAACAATTAGAGGATTTAGAGCCTGGGCATTGGAATTTGTCACTTGCACTTCCGTTGTTGCCTACACACACAAAAAAAGGTAAATCATGATAAGCATTTTATAGTGACAAATTACTTTAAATATTTAATACTGGAAGGGAATATATAGTTTCTGCCTCTTTAAGGACTAGCTTAATGTATTGACAATCTTTGCAGCCTCAGCAGTGTTAATGCTGCCGTTTCTAAGAAAAGGCTATGTTTGCACTGTTGCCTTATAACAGGTCTAGTGGTTGTTACTCAGACAGCCAGTACAAGGGCTTTCTAGGTTCTGGACTGCAGAATCAACACTCAGTTGGTCTCTTGATGAAGATGCTGAACGATCCACATAGAGATGCATTGAATCAATGCATCCCTATGAGGAGATACTAAGTGGAGTGAACGCTGCGATTTGCAAGGCATAAGTACTAGCCTCCTAATGCTTCCCTAAATGGATTGGATAAAATCAGATGGAGAGACAGAGCACAGCAGTAAGACTGGCCCACTGGTACTTGTGCGATGGCCCAACAATACAAATAGGTTGGCTAAGGTTTTTTTTTTTTGTTTTTTTTTTAACTGTAAGAACAATAAGGATGTGGAATAGTGATGTCCCGAACGGTTCGCCGAGGACGGCGAACATATGCGCTGTTCGGTCCGCCCCCTATTCGTCATCATTGAGTAAACTTTGACCCTGTACCTCACAGTCAGCAGACACATTCCAGCCAATCAGCAGCAGACCCTCCCACCTCCTGGACAGCTCACTAAGAATGCAGCTTCACAATGAATGTAAAACGGATGCTGTCCAGGAGGTGGGAGGGTCTGGGAGGGAGGGTCTGCTGCTGATTGGCTGGAATGTGTCTGCTGACTGTGAGGTACAGGTTCAAAGTTTACTCAATGATGACATAGGGGGCGGACCAAACAGTGCATATGTTCGCCGTCCGCGGCGAACCGTTTGGGACATCACTAATGTGGAATTCTCTGCCTGAAGAAGTGGTTTTATCAGAGTCTGTACAGATGTTTAAACAGCAGCTAGATGCATACTTGCAAAAACATAATATTCAATGATATCATTTTTCAACTGTAGGGAAATAGCTTCTTGATCCAAGGATAAATCTGACTGCCATTTGTGACAGAACACCCCGTCACTAACAATACTTTGTTTGCATTATTTCCTCATTCCAGTTCAGTAACCGAACAAACCCACAAGTTCCCCTTGTTATACCTCCCGTACTCAGCCCACCTTGGAGCTTGTTAACCTCATTGACCCCTACTGACACCTCCATAATCGGTTTGCACCTCATTACTACAAGTGTTCTGCTGGGTGGCCGCCATTCGCATAGATGAACACATGGAAAATGGAGTTGGAGGACATCTTGTCGCACGAAAGCAGGCAGCGGTGTTCAGTCGTCGAGTGCATGGAACTGAAATCGGACAGACTAACTTGCGAACACAGCTGAGCTTCCATCCTTGCCTGTTTTCGTTTTCTTACACCTCAGAAGAGTGCTGATCGGTAGGATTGTTCGCACGAAAAAAGGCGAACAATCGCTACCTAGGAGTTAGAAAATCTGTTCAGTGTTTTATTCCTTTTTTTACTCCCGAAAGATACACCAACCTATTTTAGGCAGGTGCCTGGGATCTGAGCGCTATTTGGATATGTTGGGCGCTCAGATACAGGTTATCCGGGATATAGGACTTGTGAGGGTACCTTGTAATATAGTGTGTTTTGAACATTGTACCTCTGTGCCTGGGAGATAATTAGTTTAAGCAAAAGTACACTCAAATTCCTCCCACACACAGGGAAGCCAGGGAGGAGTTTGTAACTGTATGGAGCCCCCCCTGCTAGGGATCTGTGTATAAATTGCCTGTACCATGATTTATTAAACCAGCTCACTCCCAGCATTAAGTTTTGGCTAATGTCTGTGGGGGAAAGCTATAATCACGCCAGAGCTTTAAACACTTGGCAGCTATAATCACTAAAGCAGCTATATCACTGAATCCGGCACAGCAGAGTTCCAGAGAGGGGAAAAAGGACATCCTTGGCAGCGAAACCAGTGTTCTTATCTGGGTGGCCGCCACACCATTTTGGGGTTGGGAGGGAATTTTTCCTAGTTTAACTATTCCTAGTTTGTTGCTTCCAACTATTGTTTTTACGCATTGGTAATCTGGTGTCAGTACAGACTTCGCCAGATAGTTCCTCTTATCCAAACATTCCCATAGAAAAACACTGATTGCACATAGCACCTTTTGCAGTAATCATCAAGCTCCCCAATGGAATGCTTCTCAGAGAAACACTGAACCCAATGCTCCTTTATAAGAAGCACTCACATTGTTCAGCAACATCACACTGGACATGATGATGCTAAATGTGAAGTCCTTAAATAAAAGTAAGGCTTTCAATTAAGAGGCACCTCTAGTGTCAGTCTCTCTGACAGCCACTAGATATGCGTCAAAAACTTGTAAGCATTGCGGTGTCCCTTGAGAAGGAGTAGTTTTGGTGCTAAGAATATGCTTTGAGGTGTACCAAAGAACTATGTAGTATATCATCAGTTAATATGTCTTTCTTAAAGGTACACTACAAGAAGAAAATTTGCACAACACATCTCATCGAAAAACAAAAAGTTTTTCCTTTTTTTGATGCAATAGAATTTTTTATTTTGCAAACCCAAAAATAAACACCAAAGCCACTGGCACCTAGCTACTTAAAAAAAGGGCAATTGGAAATAAAGGTTGGAGGAGAAAACTTTATACCCACAGCTGCACTGCAAATGCAGCCACCATTTAGGTGAGAACACTGTAGCAGACTCCATTCCTTTGTGTTCGGTTGGCCGTACACCCTTGTTCGTCTCCTAAATGACTGGTGTGTGGTCCCCCCCTTTTATACCTCCTTGAACACCGACTTCCCCTGGCTGTTAACCACCAACACAGTGGCTCGAGTGCTTTCCCTGGGTTCGCCATTCGTATAACCGAACGCACGTGGTCTGTGCATGGCGGCCATTTTGTCTCCTGAACACAGGCAGCGGTACATGGTGGTCGAACGCCTGGAACGGTTTTCGGCTCACGCGAGTACACAAACCCGGGCGGAGTTTGTACTGCTGCCCGTTCTATTTCCCGACCACCTAGACGAATGATGTTCGGCAGAAAAGATAGGGGGAGCGTTAGTCAGTGTTTGCACAGGAACCCCCGAAAGTCGACCGGCCATCCTTCCCAATCCTCTGGAACTGTTGGTCTTTAAAACTTTACTTGAATAGCAATTTCGTTCTATCGAAACGATCTGAATGATTTTTGGATATTTTGGGCGTCTCAGGTCAGAGCTATTTGGGGATATGATTTTTGTGAGTTCCTGTATTATTTTCATGTATTTTTGTGGTATAGTAAAATGTGTGTAAGTTTCTGTATTTGAGATATAATTGAGTTATCCTAATTTAAGCTCGATTATCTCTCAAACACAAAGGCTCTTGAGAAGAAACCCATGTGTTTTTGATGTGTATACCCCATACTAGATGCCAGTGCATAAAAGTAGTGTGTGGCAGAATGAAGTTCAGTTGTACTTCCAGAACTGTGTGTTGTCCAATTACTGGAGAGGAGGTGGGCTATTTACTTGGTAGTATCATGTTCCTGAGTTCTACTATTGATGAACAAGCGGAGGATAGCCCCGGTCAGGACTAGAGCTCCAATATTAACAGGGGCTCTGGATGCTCCAGGACCTAAAAGGGAACATATGATTGTACATTTCCTAAAATCCCCTGAGTAACTCAGACCTGCTGTAGTACTCGCCATTAGGTTTTTTTACGGATATATACAACTTTGTATCACAATAAAATAAGACAATTGTGTAACTTAATTCAGCTACACATTACCCATAAACCCATGCAGTGCACGGGTTAACAGGAAAATACAATATTCCAATACAGCTTAACAGGTGGAAAAATACCGGACTGGAAGGTAGAGGGCAAACAGTGACTAGAGATTTGTTGGCAAGATGAACATTTAGAAGTCAAACTGTAAACAATGAAGAATATTTCAGGGTTATTCATCAAAGGAAGAAGTGTCAGGAATTAAACGTGAATTTCGAATTTTAGACAAATATAGCTAAACTGGAAGCTTGGTTTACATGGGGGGAAAAAAAAAATTCCAAACCAGCTATTCTGGTCTTCAATTTGAAATCACTCTGAATTTCAGACAATTCTCACTTTAGTGAATAACCCTGTTTAGCATTTTTTTTTCCCCACTTATTGAATGTCTACTGAAATAATATGTGCAGTATACCCACTGACTGCATCTTTTAAAGACTATTCAAATACCAAATGAAAGCCAAATCATGATACAGACTTAATTTATAGACCACAAAGGTTATTGTCAAAGGAATAACACAACAACAAAACATGTTCACACTGAAAACCTATTTATAAAAATACCTCTTTTAAAACCCAATTCTGATGGGAAGCAATTATTTCATAGTCTCCGGGGAGCACCTTATAGAACGCAAACCTAGAACCAGAAAAAAGGTGTTCATTAGTAATATTCATAATTAGCCAGTAGCATTTCTAATGCAAAAAAAATGTCTGGCTTTTGATGGCTTAACTAAGGCAACCAATACATTAAGTTTTTTTTTTTTAACAGGCTACAACTGGGTAAAACATGCCTTAATTTGTAGAAATAAGAGCTTTAAATATTATGATGGATGAGTATTTGGAATATAAAATTGGTCTTCAATCAAAGAACTTACTTTCCTCCTGTTTGAGTAACTGTGGTTTGAAAATTCACTCCACTTCCAGTTCGTCTCAAGGCAACCTGTACACCCCCAGGCCCCAGATTCTGATTTCTACTCAATACCTGGAACAGACAGCAAGATATCATAATTACATCTCACTCTAGAAATGTTAATATGTATATGCTGATGTATGTTTGTGACTGCTTCCCCCCTTTAGGTTTGGTGTATTACAACAGATGGCAGACCACATACGCATGTAGAAGTATACTGTACATGTCCCATGCAATATATTTTATATACAAACACATATAATGATAATTTGATACAAAAAGACTCAGTAACCATGTTATTCTGTAGTCATGCTCATTAACAGCATTGCATCTCAAAGTAATGTATGCTGTAGACATAGTGAAGAAGTTTAATGTATCTGAACATACATTAGATGGTAAAACCATATCTAAGATACTTGGGCCAATGAGATCATTAGTGCTTCTAGATATGATGATACCAGTAACTCAGAAACAGCAGACCTCCTGTGATTTTAATACATTGTAGCCTCGAAGAATATAGAGTAAAAAACAGCTAGAACAGGGCAAGCACACCTTGGTAACTCGTTCAATGCACATTGACTAAAACCTAGCATCTTCTGATACTTAGTACCTGGCCTCTTCTGCATGATACACCCCACCTTCAATGACAATGATAGGCTGCAAGCTTTAGGAAAAAAAAAAAAAAAAAAGAGCCTGGGCTTTGAATGCGGGGAGAGATGTATTTTTTTGTCAAACAATGAATGAATAACAGTAAAAGAAGGGGGAAAATGGCACCCAAAGATTGCTTTAACAATAAGCACTACAAGACGTATAATGGTTATGGTGCTTAAAAGAATCATATGTTCTGTTATTACACTCTAGTGCTTAAACACCTTGTAACGGATCGCCTGGCACCCCGACTGGGTACCTCCGTTAAAGGATGCTCCTAGCGTTTCCTGAGGACTCCAAGCACTCTGGCAGACACCACAATCACCAAACCGGAGAAGCATATGAGTACTTTTAAGCATATGAATGTTGTATACAGCCGAATAGGAAACCCATGTGAATAGGTTTACACTCCTAGCAGTCAAACTGGAACAGCATACAATAAATCCTCCCCCAATAATGAGACGACACTTCACTTTCAGGGTTAAGCAGGAACTCCACTGTAATGGCCACACACTGGGTGGGACACAGTACAACCAATCATTTACAGGACAGCCATAAAACACACCCAGCACAAACACATCCCTCCCCTCTGCCTGTGATATCATTACTGAACACAATGGGTTAATGAAATTTAACACAGGCAGGAAAAATACACTTTTTATACATACACTATAACTTTAAAAATATGCATCATATTCACATAAAATAGAAACATAACCAAAATTCAGCCAATTCCATCCAGGGGTTAAAAAGTTAAGGGAAAGTCCTATTTGACCAAATGAAGCATGGCTTTTCTGCCCAAAACCAGTTCCACAGAGTCTTCTATCCTGAAGATAATTGTGAAGTAATCCAATTATCTCCAAGGACAGAGGCAAAACTCCATTAGCCATATGGCAGACAAAGGACAATAAAAGACATAAAAATACATACGGTTACATTTATCACATAGAACATACACATTCTACCTATCCCCAGATAGCTTAGATCTGAGCGCACATTATTACCGGATGGTGCTCAGATCACATACATACAGTTCAATCGCCATGGAGCCAAAGTCTTTCATACAGTCTTTCAGTATACGGCTGGGCTCCATGGCATAGCTATCTGGGGTAGCATGGCTTTAACAGTCCGCAGAAAGGCACGAATAAACCTTTCTGCAGGTAAAATAAAAGTTTAAAATGCAGGACCATAGTCTAAAGGGAGCAGGCGAGCAACCAGGCCTCTCCAGTGGACAGTGGCGAGGTTGGTTCCGCCACACACCTCATACCAGCAAGTTATGCATCAAAGCAGTATTCTAAGCACCATGACCACTGCAGCTCATTGTAGTAGTTACATTACTAGCAGTTTTTGGGTGTCGTCTCCGTGGTTTCTGTCAAACTATTTAAGTGGACTGACAAAGCTCAGGATCCTCCCGTCACCTAATGTTGTCCTCTGCTCCTATATTGTGGCTGAGGTAAAGTTGAAATCACCTTTCAGATTAGACATCAAATACATAGCAATGATTGGCTAACTGTGCAGATGAGCAGATCACAATTAAACCATGATTTTCATACAAAAAAAAAAAACCAACAAAAAACACAAGTAGTACTTGCATTCAATCACAATAGGTATCAGGGTCACCTCGAAAGACCCTCAATAATATTATACAAAAAAAAATTATACCAAATGATACCGCACTCAATAGAATAGATTTAACAGAATATAAAATTTATTAAAAATGAGTTACAGGGGGAGTTTCTAAAGAGAACACTTGGGACACATTACAGAAGAGTATATCCATCTGGATTTGGGACTCTTAAAGCAAACAGGAAGCCTCCCAGCCAAACACATGGGTGAGATCAGTCCATGACCCTTTCCCCCCCCCCCCCCAACATTGAGTTTTGTTCTGGGATCCCTATTTTTTAACTTTGATGTACATTACCAGGATTTTTTCTCACAAAACTCAATACCCTTATGTACAGTCTGTTGTTTTGCTGGACCATGTGGTTTATTCTGTGCAGAGGATTTTGAAACAGGCATTAATGTTTGTATTTTATTAATGTTCATTTAGGAACCATGGTGATGTGATATTTTGCACTTTAGCACTTTATAGTATAGTGAATAAGATATTTTTCATATATAAATATATGGTGTTGTGTTCTCTTGTCTTTATATAAGATAGCTTACATTTTTGCTAATAAACTTATATTCAGTTATATCTATTCTATTGAGTGCGGTATCATTTGGTATATTTTTTTGCATGATTTTCATACACTAGTTTGCACATGGGATTGTCCATGAACATACATTATAATTTATAAACCAACATCCTCTTTGGATTTGTGCAACATGACAAAAGCAGAAGTGGCAAAACAAGTTTGACAGGATCAGGAGGAGATAAGGGCCCTCATTAAATGAGCTCACACAGCCAATTTCCTTATTCAGCGTTCATTCCCACATGAGCAAGTCACTGTATAATGATACTTTGTCACTTATCTGGAGCAAGTATCACGAGTCAGTCCATTGGGAGTGTGTAGTAGAGATCAACCAATATTATTTTTTTAGAGCCGATACAGATAATCTGTGAACGTTCAGACCGATCGCTTACCAATATGCTGTACATTTATCGTTTTGTTTGTGCAAAAAGTGTTCTTTTCTCCCCTCCCCTGTAGTGGTCCTTACCACCCCCACCCCTGGTCCCATAGTGTTCCTTATAACCCCCACCCCTTATGGACGCGCCAGCCTACGCATTCATTATAGGTGTTGTCAGTGATTATCGGCCGATACTTAAAAAAAAAACCAAAAAAAAAAAAACGGAATATCGGCAAAACCGATAATCCGTCGAACCCTAGTGTGTAGGTTTGCATTTTCAAACAAAGTGTTAAAAAAGTAGATGAAAAAGGGACCAAAAATCACATGGACTGGAATTTCCTGTACTGAAATTAGGATTACTAAAATGTAGTTTGCCTGAATTACCTTTCCGTTAACCATGAAGCCCGTAAAAACAAAATTAACATCTCCTCCTTTAGTACAAATATCGTTCACTCCATCCACATGTAGAGGGACACTTGTAGGCTCTATAATAAAAGAATTAAGTAACAATTATTTAAAAGTCATTAAGAAAAACAATATTTTAAAATTACAGTTCTGGATCCTATAATTTCCAGATGAAAAGGTGCGATCTGGATTAAAAGGTTTATAGAAATACGTTGTTTTATTTTCACAGTGATAGTGGTAATATACAGCCCTATGGCAGTGAAATGGTTAAATTGTTATGCAGTGATGAATGTTCCATTGTGCATGTACCACTTCTGCATATATTAACTAAAAACTGGCGCTCAATAATGGTGAATCAACATTTTCAAGGGCCAGTATTGTAGGTGCTGCACACAAACAAGCAAATACAATGAATTATGTCACTTTGTCTCAAAAATAAAACTACATTAAAAAAAAAAATGAAAAAAAAAAAAAAAACACAGCTTGGATTTTGCGGCTTCTTTGAAGCCAACAGTTAAACACAAATAAATCCCTTTCAAATGTAATGAGGATGGTTTATACAATAAATAAATACTGTTTCTAATTAAAAAAAGAGCAAAGGAAAGGGTATTGGGAGGATATAAAACAAATCAGTAAAATTAACATGAATATCAGATATTGCAATGTGGAAAGAGGTAACGTTGTCAACAGGCCTACAATACTGCCAGAAATAAAGCAGGAAAGAAGGCAAATTTCTTTGCCGCTTGTGTAGCAGGTTTTAATCATTATACCATTCTGTGTATATTATTATTATATAACAATGACATAACGATATGTTTTGCGATTAGCACTCATACATCAGCAAACTGATCCACATTTAGTAAAAAGCAACACGATTGTAGAAGGAGGATGTTGCACACCTGCGGTCCCCAGGTAGTTTCTGATGATATCTAACTAATGCAAATAGGAGAGTTCTGGGAATGAAAAACATATACACACCAACCCCGTAGGAGTTGACAGCAGCTATTACGGAGAAGAAACAGATACTCACCAAAACTCCAGCCTAGGGGAGGCTCGATCTTAAGCACAAAGTCCCCCTGAAAGAACAAAAACACATCAATAGCTGCCTGAAGGAAATACAATCACTATTAACTTTCACAGCCATAAACATCAAAGAAGCAGTTACACTATTACACAACATAATGTTTGTACATTCTAAGATGATCAATTATAAAAGTGACTTTCCAGCATTACGTCTACTTAGTTGCTTCTGCACAACATAAATTAATACTTGATCTTCCACTTGGCTTGTTCCAGGTTTTAATCTAATCTTATATACCCATCAAGCCTCTCCTTCAATTACCTGGCATCCCCAATATGGAGACCCATCTACTAGGCTGTGATTTTACTAGATCAGGGGTAGGCAACCTTCGGCACTCCAGATGTTTTGGACTACATCCCCCATAATGCTCTGACACCCATAGTGCTGGCAAAGCATCATGGGAGGTGTAGTCCAAAACATCTGGAGTGCCGAAGGTTGCCTATGCCTGTGACCTAGATCATGCTTCAGTGCTGTGTGTTCCATCTTGCCCTTCTTCCAACTTTAAATCCTCATCCCCTTTATTTTTACATTCATCTTGACCTATTTTATTTATCCCATTATTTTTATTTTGGCATACAACCATATCACAGCTTTTTCCTCAACCACATAAATTCATATCTCCCCTCCCCCCTCCAAATCTATCTACCTGGGATGATCTTCTCCCCTAAAATGAAGGCTTTCCTATTCTGCACATCTTTATCTAATCCAATATCTGTTCCCCTCAATCATCTATCCATGTATGCTCCCATCACTTGTCCCCAACAAATAAATTGATATGCAATTAGATGGAATCTTTCCACCCCCCATCAATTAAAACACAGGGGGCTTATCATTAAACAATTGTGTTTAGGCATTAATATAGCAATATTGTTTAATATTCACTACAATTAATAGTTTGGTGAATAAACCAATAATGTTCATTAAAACAGAACTTTCATTATTTCTCTGTATTTGATATTTTCTTGGTTACTAGGGGGTAAGTAGTACTGCAGAGGTTTAAGAAAAACTAAATCTAAATCAATGTAGTACTTACACGCTCTGTGTGAGTTCAACACCATCAGGCACGATTAGACACATGCACAGAAATATCATACAAGCACATGCGCACACTGGTATTCCATCTATGTAAGGGTTAATCAAGTTTACACTCTATCCTCAGCATGTTATTTAAAATGAATAACAGTTGGAAAAAAAATTAAATTAAACAGCAAAGCCAGACAACATTCAATTAACTATCTGGTTGTAATCAGATGTGACAGCTCCACTTTAACTCACTAGAAAAAAACATGATTTAAGAACTATTGTATAATAAGTTATACCATACCACCTGATAAGTGCAAGGCATTAAACTGTCGTTCTAGCCACCTCCCTACCCATGTGCATAACTCACTACAATTATTTTCTTTGTACTTTATGCTTTTACACAGTGCATCTTTCATATACTTCCATTCATCCTTCCACAAAACATTAGGCAGTACCAAGAGATCTGGTAAGGATGCCCTACAACTACACAATTCTGAAACAGCCTACATATTTAGCTTCAAGAGTTAGAAATTATGGTCAAAATCCCTCCCAATCAGGTTTCATTATATAGATATTCCAGACTAACAACTACATGTAGAACCAGCGGATTAAGTTAAGATCAATTTAATATTTTGGGGGGATAAGCTTTTGAATTGATTTAATATTTTTGGATACACTATTAAAATGTAATCATTAAAAAATGTTAATACTTTAAATATTGATTTATTTTAGAAATAACTTTTTGATATTTAAATATTTTGTAAACTTTTTTTTAAATGCAAATCCATTAAATCGAGGCCTAAATCAGTAAATTAAAGAGAATTAAATCATAAAACCGCACACTAATAAACCTTACAAAAAAGTATTACTTTATTTTTGTCACATAAAGAATAAAAATAAAGGCTGATGAAAAATATAGACAATCCGCATAGCATACAGCCATTCAGAAGTATAGTTCCTAACAATTCACATATTGTATACAGCCATTTGCATCTGTCATACAAGTTGAAATAAATACATGTTTATATTGCTATAAACACCTGCAAAAAAAAAGGCTGTTTATAGCCAAAAACATAAAAGACGGTAACACTTATTAGCAGACTAGTGTTAATTGTTTAACATGTATTTATTTTGACTTATTTGACAGCTGCATATGACTATACACAATAAACATTATGTGAGTTTTCTTTATTTATGAACAGCAGGCCTACATGGATGTGTGTGTATTGCATGCCATGCTATAGCAATTGTCTATTTTTTCATTTATTTTTATAGTTAACAAAACAAAAATAAAGTAATCCTTTTCTTATTTTAAACAATTATCGGTGTACTATTATTTAGTTCTGTATCTTAGCCAGTTTTGGAGAGGTATGTTTTACATCTGCATCCTAACTTTATGTATGACGTCTGCTATTTATAGTCTGGTGTGCCCCTAGGTATTAATGTGTAAGTAAAATAAAGAGATCTAGCGTAAAATAGTTTATTTCTAAAAATCAATGTGCACTGCAATTCAATGCACATGCTTATGAAACTCATTGCTCCAAAACAGTTCCATATTTTTGTCAAAATAGTGCAAAACAAGTATATCAACACAATGTACGCATTGTGGAGGTCAATTGTGTCTAGTTACGCCTATTTATGTTTTTGCCTAATCGTGCATGTTTCTGTGTAGCCATCTGACAAATCTCTCTAAATCCCTGAGTGACACGGATTTGTTTTTAACATTAATCAGTGATGGGCACATCTGCAGAATTGCACTTAAACCAAGTCTCGAAAAATATCAGGCACTGGTCGTGTGAGAGAATCCAGAAATGAGACATGGCGCCCAAATATTTCTCTCCACAGCAGGGCTGTTTAATCACAAGGGCTCAATGATAGACTGCAATGAAAGAAGTCAAGTCAGCAGCAACAAAATAAATGCACATAGAGTAGTTATGTAGTGGGTGACGGGCACAGGACTAAAGCCAGCTTATTTTATTAAAATATGGTGTGTGAGAGATAAAAAACAGTTATTAGACACTACTCAGCCACTTTTTTTTTTTTTAACATAAATCTTTACATCTTGGTTTGTCCATTACTGTCTGTCATTACTACACTTTCCATACTAGTGAGGCAAAAGTAAAGTCAGTGAAGGGCTCACAGGGTTGCACTATGGCCTTTAATCTTGCAATGTGGTAACGGGAGGCAACCCTGCATCCTATCTTGTGCTAATAGTAGCAAATTCTTCATCATGCACACAATGGGCAGTATTGTGGAAAGCTCACAACTGATGTAGAACTTCTAGAAACTCCTGTTGTGCAAGTAAAACACAGTTGTGCATACATTATTGGGGTGACCATAGCACTGACATGGAAAAATAAGGGTGCACACCATGATGGCTGAGTCACTTCCTGGTCTGCCACAAACTCTGCACAGATTGCAGCAATGCCTGAGCTTTTATGGCAAGTGCAAAAAAATCAGAAGGGAGGACTATCTTTTTAAAGCATTTTCAATAAAGTGTATTAAAGAGAAATAATTAACTTCAGCCTTCATTGTTCCTTTAACCACAAGCTGGTTATTAGAGAAAACTAATACTGACCACTCACCTTATCATAAAGAGGAATCATGAAGTAACCGTTGTTCGGTGCACAATCAGTCTGATATTTCAGAGTGCCTTGTTTTGTATATAATTTAATCTATAATGTAAGAAAACAACATTTGATTAATGTTCGATAATAATTTAAAACATGTTTTTTTGTGGTAAAAAAGATTCTTTATAAAAACAAAAGTAATGTGGAATTCTCACTGTGTAAATCTACTCAACTCCATATCCTATTAAATGGCGTGCAGAGATAAACTTTTGAAAGACATTTTGTAACAACTCTGTGATTCAAAGAAGAGATGCCTTATTTTAAATTAGTAGATTTAATATTTCTATTTATATAAATCCAACATATTCTGCAGACTTTCTGCAAAGAGTACAAGCTAAATACTACATGCGTCCTTCAAAGAAGAACCAGAAGTGATTAGGGCCCAATAGCAACACAAATCACACCTTCCATGGCAAGGTTAGGCAACCTTCTGCACTACAGATTTTAGTGGACTACATCACCCATAATGCTCTTACAACCAAAAAGTAGGCAGCCCATCAAAGGGAGATGTAGTCTACAATATCTGCAGTGCCAAAAGCTTCTTATCCCCCTGTTATATAGCATGTCTTATTGCCGCAAACTTCCTTTATTTGCTTGTGCTGCTCACTTCATTCATATACTTATGGAATCATATCATATCGTATAGTTAATGATTCAACAAAACAAGGTTTGTCATACATTTAGGTGAGAGTGAAGTACTACAACTCCCATGCTGCTTTGACAGCTTGGTGGCTGGCCGAGCATTGTGGGAGTTGTAGTCCTACAAACTGGTAAATGCTGTATTTTTGAGTCCACCCCCATTTAACAGAGCACGGCCGGGGCAGGCAGGGACAGGCAGTGACAGGGGTTGTAATGGAAGACATGGAAAGCATGGAGGGCATGGGGGTCAGAGGGCAGTGTAGGAAGGGAATGAATGGGGCGTGCGGCCTGCTGCTGGCCCCCCCGGGCCTGGCACGGACACCCACCTCGATCAGGGAGTAGTTAATGTCCACCTCCGACTTGACAAACCCCCCGCAGCCCACCACGATATCATCCGAGCCCCGGCTCCAGCCCCAGCACAGGGCGCTCACTGCCGCCGCCAGCTGTAGCACCGCCACCATCATCCTGCCTGTCCCTGTCTGTCTGCTCCGCAGCCTGCCTCGATCTGCTGACACAGGCTGGCGCGGACAGCACGCATGCGCACTGCGATCCCTCTCCGGAGACACGGGCAGCTTCAGGCCGTTGCTATGGCTGTCAAGTGATAGAAGGCCAAGGGTTCCACACGCTGGAGCCCGCTGCCATCTAGTGGCTAGGAGGAGTTATGACAGCATTGACCTTTCCCATAGTGAAAAGGAACATTGTGGAAAGTTACCATTATTTATATAGCGCCAACATAGTCAGCAGAGCTGTACAATAGGTCAACAAAACAGAGACTAAATTCTAACAAGTACAAAACTAAAATGCAGGGCCAGCACACCACTAGAAATGTGGGTGCAAATCTCCAAGGGCGACTTTCAACGCCTCACGTGCAGTAGAACAATATTAACGAGCCACAACACCAAAACAAATGCCAAAAGGGTTTATTCCACAATGTTATTCCTTCAGGGTCTTTGTCAGGTCTAGCTTCCAAAATACAATGTGTAGCTTATACACCCATTACATTACAAGTAACACCGCTAAATTCTAACAAACCATGATAGGCATACTGGAACAGTAGGTAAAGAAGACCCTATCCAAACTAGCTTACAAACTAAAAAAAAAAAGCACCTGCCTCTTGTTCCAGTTTTAGAACATTGCCCCAGAGCTGCTCTTCATACATGTGACCATCAAGACAGCCATCAGAAATTTTGAGGCCCCTTGAATAGTTTAAGGCAGGGGTGTCCAAACCTTTTTCAAAGAGGGCCAGATTTGATGAAGTGAACATGCGTGAGGGCCAACCATTTTGCCTGACATTCTTTGAACCATTAAAATTCAATGCAAATTAACTATTTTATGAAAAATTTATTGCAAGCGGCATACTTTTCATTTCATCTTTTTTATTGTCTCTCTTTATTCTGTCCCTTCTCTCTTTTATTCCCTCTCTTTTCATTCTATCCCTTCTCTCTTATATTCTGTCCCTTGTCTCTCCATTCTGCCCCTTCTCTCTTTTATTCTGTCTCTCTTTATTCTGTCCCTTCTCTCTTTGATTCTGTCCCTTCTCTCTTTTATTCTGTCTCTTTTCACTCTGTCCCTTTTCTCTTTTATTCTGTCCCTTCTCTCTTTTATTCTGTCCCTTCATTCTGTCCCTTCTCTCTTTTATTCTGTCTCTCTTTATTCTGTCCCTTCTCTCTTTTATTATGTCCCTTCTCACTCTTTATTCTGTCCCTTCTCTCTCTTATTCTGTCCCTTCTTTCTTTTATTCTGTCCCTTCTCTCTTTTATTCTGTCCCTTCATTCTGTCCCTTCTCTCTTTTATTCTGTCCCTTCTCTCTTTTATTCTGCCCCTTCATTCTCTGTACCTTCATTCTCTACCTCCTGGGAGAAAGAACCAAATCCTGCGACGTCGACTTCAAATAGATCGCGAGAACACAGACTGGGGACAAGCAGTGAATGTGAACTCTTGGCCCCCAGTGAATTCCCGCACGCCTCTCAGGACCACGGCGTTCAAAGATCGAGGGATCCTGAGCAGCGCTCGTGGATTCACTGGTGGCCACAACAGATAGGATTAGCCAAATAACCTGTGGGGCCGTATTAAACCGGAACACGGGACACACTTTGGCCATGACTGGTTTAAGGCCAGGCCGTTAGGTGGTCTGTCTGGGATTTGAACCTAGGTTCCCAGTTCTAAGGCAGTGACATTACACTGCTCTAACCAGCCAATATCAAATTATATCTCTACTGACGTCACCACTAAGGTGTATGGGAACGTTTGTAGATAAAAACTTTGAAAAGTTTTTTCTAACAAATTGGGAAGATATCCAAAAATATTAAAGGAGTACTATAGGGTCAGGAACACAAACATGTAGTCCAGACCCTATAGTGTTAAAACCACTATCTAGCCCCCTTTGCCTTCCTAAAGATAGTAAAATCTTACTTGTATTCAGGTCTGAAGCTGCTGCCTCTGCCTGTGAACTTCCTCTGACATCATCAGAAGTGGTGGCCTGATCCAATCACAATGCCCCCTTTGCCTTCCTAAAGATAGTAAAATCTTACTTGTATTCAGGTCTGAAGCTGCTGCCTCTGCCTGTGAACTTCCTCTGACATCATCAGAAGTGGTGGCCTGATCCAATCACAATCACCATAGGATTGGCTGAGACTGACAAGGAGGCAGATTAGGGGCAGAGCCAGCATGATTCAAACATAGCCCTGGCCAATTAGCATCTCCTCATAGAGATAATTTGAATCAATGAATCTCTATGAGGAAAGTTCAGTGTCTGCATGCAGAGGGAGGAGCCACTGAATGTTTGGATGCATTTTAGGCAGCCAATGACCCAGGAAGGATCTCTAACAGCCACCTGAGGAGTGGCCAGTGAAGTTATCACTAGGCTGTAATGTAAACACTGCATTTTCTCTGAAAAGACAGGCCTTACAGCAAAAAGACTGAAGGTAATAATTCTACTAAACAAAACAAATTCAATAAGCTGTAGTTGTTCTGGTGACTATAGTGTCCCTTTAAATTAAGGCCTAAGGTAAGAGAGGCATATTATAGGTCCTTGGATTTGCCCATAAATTAATAGGATAGTAGCCTGGGGAACAGAGTTTAAAAAACAAGCTGAGGTCTAGGATAACAGAAAGGCACTATAATGGATAGCCAAGCCAGAGCCAAGGAGCACAGAATGGAGAATGGTCAAGGAAGTAGCCAAGGTCAAAATAAAAAATAAAATAAGATAAAGAACAAAAAGCACTAATGGATCACTAAGGGAAAACCACGATAGTGCAAAGCACAAAGTGCAGAGATAAATAAGCCTAGGAAGCACATTATTGGCTGGCATAATTTCTGCAATGCTAAAATGTACATAGGCGATGTCACACATGATGCACAATACGCCATCGGGCACACCAGGCAAATGCGGTGGGCCGCGGTGGTCATGGGCTTTATCACAGGATCTCCCCTGCTGGTCTATGCAGGGCCGGTACTATCCAAGCACCGGCCATGCTGCATTCCATGACAGGCAGGTGGGGTGATCAAAGATCTCCCTCACCTGCCCACATGTAGTATATTGCAGCCGCCAGCGGGGGAGAGAGGGAGGGAGACAGGAGAGAGGAAACCGGAGGAGCTCTAACTTGCAGCTCAGCCGGGTTCCTCTCGAAAGATTCGGAGAGTTGCCATGGCAACGCTCCGGGTCTCGCGAGAGTGAACTCTAGCCCCACAAGCTAGAGTTCACTCACCACAAGCACCACCAGAGATGGCAGCAGCACGGTTCCCCCTCCCAGGCTAAAGGTAAGAAGGGAGGGGGGATATAATCTCACACACACACTGCATGTTGACACTCACAGCACCCTCACTCACACACACACTGCACCCCTGACACTCACAGCACCCTCACATACACACAACACTGCACCCATGACACTCACAGCACCCTCATTCACACACACACTGCACACCTGACACTCACAGCACCCACACACAAACACTGCACCCTCACACACAGCTTTCTCACACGCACATAGCACCCTCATGCAAACACAGCACACACACACACTGCACCCCTCATACACAGCACCCTTACCCACATCGCACCCTCACACACACACACACTACACCCCTCTTGCACACCACACTGCACCCCTGACACTGACAGCACCTTCACTCACACACACACTGCACCCCTGACACAGCACCTTTACTCACACACACACACACTGCACCCCTAACACTTGCAGCACCCTCACTCACACACACACACACCCTGCACCCCTGACACTTACAGCAACCTCACTCACACACACACACACACTGCACCCCTGACTCACACACACACTGCACCCATGACACTCACAGCACCCTTACTCACACACACACACTGCACCCATGACACTCACAGCACCCTCACTCACACACACACACTGCACACCTGACACTCACAGCACCCACACACAAACACTGCACCCTCACACACAGCTTTCTCACACGCAGATAGCACCCTCATGCAAACATAGCACCCATCACTCACACACAGCACCCCTTTTGCACACACACTACACCCCTTACACACATCACCCTCACACACACACTGCACAATCCTCTTTCCTGACATTTTTGTCTCCTCTATGGAGACACCAGAGACAAATTTTAAGCAAACACAGTGCAAGCATATTATTAAATTTGCTTGCCCTGTGCAGAACAAATACATTTTCTCATGCTAGAGCTCTTCAGCAGAGCTCTGTGCATGGTCTGCCCTGGAAGAGCATTGAACCAACATACTCACTTTGTGATGGGGCGTGCTTGTCATTGGTTATGACAAAACACACCCTAACTGACCCCGCCCCCTTTTTAGAGGGCCGCTGTAATTAAAAAATGCCCGGGACGAATTTTCTCCGAAGCCCGGCCCTGATGCGTATAACTGTGCATCAGAATTGAAGCATGGAGTTTGAGTGCCATAAAATGACATCGGACTCTGGAACACAAAATGGCACGCACCTGTGGGAGCCTTAACAGGTACCATGGTACCATCACAAGGACCGATCTCATATGGTGTTTGGTTTTTCTATCTACATTGGTGTTACCCTCCATTTCCGCTTTTATTTAGCCTTTTAACTGCCCACAGCCCACTGTTTCTTTTATAGGCCACATAGTGTCTTTGTTTTCAATTTGAGACTGCTCTATTTATCAGAAAAGACTGTCAGTGTTAATTGCAACTTGAATCACAGGTAAGAAAAGACTGACACAGAGACTGTAATGCAAGCAGTAAACTAGCTTGGTGTGTCAAACCTCACTTAGTAGACATATGCTGCCACCTTAGTAAAATATCACATGAGCTGGCTCCTACAATGACGAAGCTGGCTTTCCAAAATCACTGGCGGCTGGCTGGTTTTTCTTCTCCCCCACAATTTTTTTCCCTGCCATTTTGCCTTAGCCCTATATTGTGCTGCATTTACTTTTCACATTTGCTTTTACTGGTCACTAGGTCTGTCAGGCCTTGTCCTGTCTTTACAAACAAATCTTGTACTAAATGACACTCACCGACTATATTACTGTACTTATTGGTTATTCAAGAAAAACCAACATGCACTGAGATCATTTCAAGCAGC